TCGTGAAATTTCCTCGCTCCTAAATATTCCACAGTCAACTGTCAGCTGTATTATAAGAAAATGGAAGTGTTTGGGAACGACAGCAACTCAGCCACGAAGTGGTAGGCCACGTAAACTGACGGAGCGGGGTCAGCGGATGCTGACGCGCATAGTGCGAAGAGGTCGCCAACTTTCTGCAGAGTCAATCACTACAGACCTCCAAACTTCATGTGGCCTTCAGATTAGCTCAAGAACAGTGCGCAGAGAGCTTCATGGAATGGGTTTCCATGGTCGAGCAGCTGCATCCAAGCCATACATCACCAAGTGCAATGCAAAGCGTCGGATGCGGTGGTGTAAAGCACGCCGCCACTGGACTCTAGAGCAGTGGAGACGCGTTCTCTGGAGTGACGAATCGCGCTTCTCCATCTGGCAATCTGATGGACGGGTCTGGGTTTGGCGGTTGCCAGGAGAACGGTACTTGTCTGACTGCATTGTGCCAAGTGTAAAGTTTGGTGGAGGGGGGATTATGGTGTGGGGTTGTTTTTCAGGAGCTGGGCTTGGCCCCTTAGTTCCAGTGAAACGAACTCTGAATGCTTCAGCATACCAAGACATTTTGGACAATTCCATGCTCCCAACTTTGTGGGAACAGTTTGGAGCTGGCCCCTTCCTCTTCCAACATGACTGTGCACCAGTGCACAAAGCAAGGTCCATAAAGACATGGATGACAGAGTCTGGTGTGGATGAACTTGACTGGCCTGCACAGAGTCCTGACCTCAACCCGATAGAACACCTTTGGGATGAATTAGAGCGGAGACTGAGAGCCAGGCCTTCTCGTCCAACATCAGTGTGCAACCTCACAAATGCGCTTCTGGAAGAATGGTCAAAAATTCCCATAAACACACTCCTAAACCTTGTGGACAGCCTTCCCAGAAGAGTTGAAGCTGTTCTAGCTGCAAAGGGTGGACCGATGTCATATTGAACCCTATGGATTAGGAACGGGATGTCACTTAAGCTCATATGTGAGTCAAGGCAGGTGAGCAAATACTTTTGGCAATATAGTATATATATATATATATATATATATATATATATATATATATATATATATATATATATATATATATATATATATATATATATATATATATATATATATATATATATATATATATATATATATATATATATATATATATATTAGGGCTGCAACTAACGATTATTTTAAAAATCGATGAATCGGACGATTATTTTTTCGATGAATCGGACAAAAAATATTTTTTATATTAACCTCTTTATTCCAAGATAAACATTTTAGACAGAACAAACAAGCACACAAGTACAGGTTGCTCATTAACTGCACTGGTGCAATATGAAAAATAAATGTTTGTGTTAAAACTACGCAAACTTACATGAGAAATGTAGCTGTACATCCACAAAATATAGGGTACTTTGTTTCATAAAGCGCAAAAAAAGACATTTTTGTTTTTTAAAGCCCCTAAGGGGTTCAAACAATAGGCCCCCCCCATTTCAACAAATGAGTTTTTTTAGACTAGAAGAGTTCTGCCTTTTAAGACAGGAAAGTATAGCAGTTAAAGTTGCTGCTTGAGGAAATACTGAACCATAGAGATAAAAATAGCCCTGTGATTCAAATTATAAATTGTATTTAGAATAAAAATGAGAGAACTAGGGGTGCTAAAAAACACATCCTCCAAAGACAGATATTTACATGGGAATGTGGCAGATAATTAATTGACATATTACTGATCTTGCTGGATTTTATTCTGCTTTACTTCCATAAATTGCAGGATCTTCTTTACTTTATCTTTGCCAGAAGATTTAAACTTTAAAAGCCTTGCCCTCATAATTTGCAAGTTAATTTATTTATAAAGTAAATGTAAACGCTGCTTAAGCTAATTCAAATGAAATTAAAAGTAAAATAAGTAGCCAACCTTATCACTGTCTGTAACCTACTAACACGGTAAGGAAAGCATCAGATGAGCTACCTGAGAAACTAACGTTACGTTTCCCCACTTTAAAACCAAACAAACATGGTGGTTCCGTGCCATGTTAATTTCTTTTGAAAAAAGTTGCATGTTACGACTTTTTTCGCTTTACAAAGCGCAGGCTATTTTAATTATTGTGATCAATTTGCGCCGTCAATCCCGGTGCATGCGCGCTTCATTTGCAGTCTGGACGCTGAGGCTCTGACTGCAGCGCTGAGAGGGACTCCTGCGGGAAAAATGCGGTTGGGGTGGGGGAGGCGCCTCACGGCAGAGTAGGAACGATACATGCTTTCACTAAGAGTCTCTAAAAGCCGCCAGTGACACCAAAAAAAGTCGCCAGATTTGTCGCTAGTCGCCTTTTTGAAAAATAGTCGCTGGAGGGGTCTGAAAAGTCGCTGAATATGCAACACTGCACCTGCAGCGCTGGCTCGCTCTGCCATATTTTTTTTTCTTCCTCTTTCAGTCAAGAGGCAGTGATGACGGCGCGGCGGATGACGCAATAATCGCGCGACACAACTAATCGATGATGAAATTCGTTGCCAACGCTTTTAAAAGTCGATTTTTATCGATTTTATCGATTCGTTGTTGCAGCCCTAATATATATATATATATATATATATATATATATATATGGGTTGTCACGATACTAAACTTTTCAACACGATACCGATACTAAGGAAAATATTCGATACTCGATACCATTTTCAAGACAAAGACTCCAAAATTCAACAGAAATATTTCCATTAATAAATAAAATACAATAAATAAACACAATAAAGGTTGTATGCTGTGCATATTATGCAAGCTTGATAAAAAACTTATAAAAATCAAATTAAGTGTTCCTTCCTTTGCTATGCTTTGCACACATAACAATGACACTAGCCAAACCAGTTAAGAAACAAAAATAAGTCTTAGCAGCTGCACCTCTTACAAAAAAAAGTCTGAAACCCAAAAGAGTACAGAATTATTCAATCACACAGTGTTCAGAAAGTGCATTGTCCTCTATTCTGCACTTTAGATGAATGACTGCTTAGGTGCCACTGGTGACGGCACTGTATCGATACTTTTAAAAACGAGTATTGTATCTGGATACAACATTTCAATATTGATACTTTTTTGAGTTTCGATACTTTTGACAACCCTAATATATATATATATATATATATATATATATATATAAATAGATATATATATATATATTTATATATATTAGGGGTGGGACAGTTCACAAAATCCACGGTTCGGTATATGTTGATTGTTAGGAAAATCTATTATGTCTTGTATAGTCAGGTTAAAACTGAAAGAAAAAATTAGTCTGACATTTGATACATCATTGTGACAGTCTTAGGTTAAAAGTAGGCGAGATTCTGGCATTGCAAGAGAGGAGACAGTGCTAGTTCCAACATGTGCTTCATTTATCTGGCAAACAATCTAACAAAGAAGCAAAGGCTCTATCAAAACTAGACTTAGGTCCCTTTGTTTTAAATTAACTCAAGATAAATTGACATTTTTCAATTCCCTGATTATCAAAACTCAGTTTGTTCTGCAGTGTTTGAAATACAATCAAATAAATAAGACTGGATTTCTTGTCAAACTTAAGGTGCAACTGTGTTATCTGAAATAACAAAATAAATAATCCAGTATATATTATAACAATCAATATAAAATATAGCATAAACCAAACTAACACATGCTGCACTGCTTATAAACAACAAGCCTCTGCTCATTCTATCATGTTCTTCTGCAAGAAGAGGAGTTTGTCCACATTCTCTGCCAAAAGACGAGATCTACTAGCAGTGACAATGTCTCCTTCTGTAGAGAAAACTTTCTCACTTGGTACGGATGTACCTGGGACTGCAAGGAAACGTCGAGCCAATTTAGCAATATGAGGATATTTATGCTTGTTGCTTCTCCACCATGCAAGTGGATTTTCATCCACAGGAATGCATCCTGTGAGCCTGTATGACACGACCAACACAGCTTTCTTCCCGCCGTCATCGTAGGTCACTCTAAATGCAAAGTGGTCCCATACAGCAGACCTATAAAGTGCTGCTGGCGCGTCTTCCAACTCCTGTTCTTTCAGACTCGCCATACCCACACAATTCTCCACAACAACTGATTTTTTCCTGCTACACCCCGCTACGCTGCTTCGCTTCTTCTTCTTGTTTACTACTGGTGGTTGGCTTTGGTCGCAGTACCGCCACCTTCTGCTCTGGAATGTAAACGCTTCACCTATGAGAAAAAGGAGCAGCGCATGAACCGAACGCAACACACGCGAACCGAACCGAGACAGTCGAATCGAACGGTTCGGACAGTTTTCATAAACCGTTCCATCCCTAATATATATATATATATATATATATATATATATATATGTTAGTGTGTGTGTGTGTAGCGCACGCACCAAGACGAACAGAGATAAACAACAAACTAAATTTGAAAGAAGTACACTGGGCGGGGCCTGGGAACGTTATCATAAAGATTTGAAAAGTATCAGTTACAGGTGATACAACTGAATTGCCATATTCAATTAATATGTTATTTTTTCTCAATCAGTTGACTTTCATATATTTTAAGTCGGAGCTCCACTTAATAGGAATACAAATTATTATCCCGTTTAACCTTGTTAAGAATTGTAATTTAGATAAAGGTATGATTATGTCAAACAAACTCCCTGGGAATATGGAGAAACTTAAGTACTTCTAAATTAGATGCCGACTGATACATAATGTGAATTTACACCCTTTTAGTAAAGGGAAAAAAAGAAAGGAAAATAATGCATTAAATTAAAGGGTTTTCCATTTTCATCTTAATTATATTGATTTGCATCACAACTACAGTCCACATGAAACATCAAAATGTTCAAGCAATGCTTTCAAACCCAATGTTGATCCCTAATTAACCCGCTGCAGGCCTGATTCGATGCTCTGCAGCTTTGGAGCCAAAAACAAACAGCTGGTTCAGTCAGTGAACCAAACAATATAAAAGCAGCTATATTCGTTCTGTGTTGGTACTCACTAATCCTTCAGAGCTGGAGATCAGTCAGGAAAGGTAGATGTAGAAACTCCTTTAAAGTGACACTGGGTGAAATACTGGCACCCAGTGGTTGAATGGGGAACTTCTGCTGCTCCAGCAGGTCCAAACAGAAGCTCCTGGTTCTCTGTAGATGTTAAAAGCTCTCAGTCCCTTTAGCTTCTATGGAGGAAAAATACAATAAAATCACTTTTGTTTCTTATGGAGTTATGACGGATTTTTACAAGCCTTTAATTTTAACATTTATATTTCAACCTGCAACACCATGTGCGGCAGCGGCTACATGACGCTAGCATGCTAACTGCTAGTTACGCTACACTGAGCTAAAACAAACCAACAGAAACATTTACCTGATATTTGTTTCTAACAGTCCGTCCCAGTCGGCAGCTCTGCATTAACTGTTGGGTTGGATAAGTTTATTTTATAATATCTGCTCCGATAAGAAGTCTGAATTCTCCAAAATCAAACGCGGACCATAAGCCCCGCCCACTCCCTTCTGATTGATCACACTGACCTGGACCTTAAAAAATAGAAATTGTTGCGCGAGGCCATAATTAAATGGTCCGCGAGACCGAATTAAAACATTATTTGTTTTTTTTCTCTCTAAAAAGTTAAACTTTGGTTTTCTGCTGTTGCTGATCCTTTTTTATTTTTTGATAAAATGGTGGATGTTACCCATTCTGTTGGAGAATGGGTAACATCCATTAAGTTGAATTTCTTATATATATATATATATATATATATATATATATATATACAGGTGCTGGTCATAAAATTAGAATATCATGAAAAAGTAGATTGATTTCAGTAATTCCATTTAAAAAGTGAAACTTGTATATTATATTCATACATTACATACAAACTCATATATTTCAGATGTTTATTTTGTTTAATTTTGATGATTACAAATGACAACAAATGAAAATCTCAAATTCATCATATCAGAAAATTAGAATATTGTGAAAAGGTTCAAAATTGATGGCCCCTGGTGCCACACTCTAATCAGCTAATTAACTCAAACCACCTGCAAAAGCCTTTAAATGGTCTTTCAGTCTAGTTCTATAGGCTACACAATCATGGGGAAGACTGCTGACTTGACAGTTGTCCAAAAGACGACCATCGACACCTTGCACAAGGAGGGCAAGACACAAAAGGTCATCGCCAAAGAGGCTGGCTGTTCACAGAGCTCAGTGTCCAAGCACATTAATAGAGAGGCGAAGGGAAGGAAAAGATGTGGTCGAAAAAAGTGTACAAGCAAGAGAGATAACCGCACCCTGGAGAGGATTGTGAAACAAAACCCATTCAAAAATGTGGGGGAGATTCACAAAGAGTGGACTGCAGCTGGAGTGAGTGCTTCAAGAACCACCACACACAGACGTATGAAAGACATGGGTTTCTGCTGTCGCATTCCTTGTGTCAAGCCACTCTTGAACCACAGACAGCGTCAGAAGCGTCTTGCCTGGGCTAAAGAGAAACAGGACTGGACTGCTGGTGAGTGGTCCAAAGTCATGTTCTCTGATGAAAGTAAATTTTGCATTTCCTTTGGAAATCAAGGTCCCAGAGTCTGGAGGAAAAGAAGAGAGGCACTTCATCCACGTTGCTTGAAGTCCAGTGTAAAGTTTCCACAGTCAGTGATGGTTTGGGGTGCCATGTCATCTGCTGGTGTTGGTCCATTGTGTTTTCTGAGGTCCAGGGTCAACGCAGCCACATACCAGGAAGTTTTAGAGCACTTCATGCTTCCTGCAGCTGACCAACTTTTTGGAGATGCAGATTTCATTTTCCAACAGGACTTGGCACCTGCACACAGTGCCAAAGCTACCAGTACCTGGTTGAAGGACCATGGTATCCCTGTTCTTAATTGGCCAGCAAACTCTCCTGACCTTAACCCCATAGAAAATCTATGGGGTATTGTGAAGAAGAAGATGCAATACACCAGACCCAACAATTCAGAAGAGCTAAAAGCCACTATTAGAGCAACCTGGGCTATCATAACACCTGAGCAGTGCCACAGACTGATCGACTCCATGCCACGCCGCATTGCTGCAGTAATACAGGCCAAAGGAGGCCCAACTAAATACTGAGTGCTGTACATGCTCATACTTTTCATGTTCATACTTTTCAGTTGGCCAACATTTCTATAAATCCTTTGTTTTTATTGGTCTTCAGTAATATTCTAATTTTCTGATATGATGAATTTGAGATTTTCATTTGTTGTCATTTGTAATCATCAAAATTAAACAAAATAAACATCTGAAATATATGAGTTTGTATGTAATGTATGAATATAATATACAAGTTTCACTTTTTAAATGGAATTACTGAAATCAATCTACTTTTTCTTGATATTCTAATTTTATGACCAGCACCTGTATATATATATATATATATATATATATATATATATATATATATATATATATATAAAATACAACTCGGTTGAATGACAACTGACTCTGCTATATATGTAATTTCACCGTCCTTCCTATGAGGAACATATGGATTATTTGACATCAATGTCTAATATTCTAAATTAATATTTTTAAGTCAATGTATGGGTTTATCTGTAGAATAAATGCATCTGGCAATTATATTATCTTGACACCTACTGACACAGTACAATCTGATACTAGTCTAAGCTGTGGAGACCCTGGTATTTCTGTCTCCTTAAATCTCATATCTAATAGTAAGATGCATTGTTTCATTTTTATCTTATCTGTGTATCTATCTATATCATTTTAACCAAGATTTTTTATGGCTACACTGTCTGAAACAGTGTTTGATACAATTTAATTTAAAATATTGATATCCTGCAATAATGCTTGGGCTTTTGGAATGTCACAACAGTTTAAACACTTTCAAATAACAATATCTCACTTATAAAAATATTAAACTGGGGTTTTGAACCAGATCATCCAACATTTGGGACTCAAAAGAGAAAAAACTATCATGGTCATAAGTATTCAGACCTTTTGCTCGGTGTGCGGTACCACATCAGTACTGAGCAGAAGCCCCCGTTTGAGCTATCACAGCCATGAGTCGTCTTGGGAATGATGCAACAACGCCAAACCCAAATTCTGCATATTTACACCATATATATTAATGCTCTGAACTTCCATATCAATGCGTTTTTTTCCACCATGTTTTTTATCTCACACTGTTTACATTTGATCACTGCTGCAGTTTAATTCATTTAATTCCTGAAAAGCGGTACTTAACGAAGTTTCGTTAAAGAAAACTCTAAATTAAGCCAGAAATCGTGATTTTGTATCACACTGACATCGAACCAAATAGCATTCAACTCAAAAATGTTTTTCTACTGCTTTTCTGCACCACATTTTTGTCCCACATTGTTTACATTTGGTCACTGCTGTATTTTATGGAATGGAAATGTTAATTTTACTAAGCTGCTGCTCATTTACTGTCTGAAAGTTGAACATAATGACATGTCATTTTGTATACACTGTGTATACAAAATGATAATAAAGTTGTCTAATTCTAAGTCTTAGATGTGCATAGGTAAAGGCCAGTATTGCTTCTTCTAGGATTTCTTTGTAAGAGTGGGGTCATCTTTGGACTAAACTAAAACAATGTACCTTAACCTTGGAGCTCAAATTTCATTTATTTGGAGGATTTTCTGGTTCTTTGGTTACGCTTTGTAACATCATGGCTACCTTCCCGTACTTCACCAGGAAGTTTAAGGCCCATGGAAGAACATATCCCAAACGCTCTCCTTCGCTTCCTGTGGTCCAAACTGTAAAGAGCAGGTCACCAAACAGCACAATGACTAACTGGCAGTTTGTAAAACTACGGTGGCTGATTGGGCACAATTTGAAAATTTTCTCTTTGGATTGTCCTCACTGTTTTGCCATTGCTTTAAAAATTAATGGTTATGACATTTATTTTCAGGGGGACAGCACATGTTATATACAGTATACAGTTATATACAATTTATATACAGTAAAAAACTGCATGTTAAGAACTGTGCTTCCTTTAATCGTTCTCACGAACTGATAGAAGACATACATTCAGAGACTCTGGGAATCTTTGCAGGTGTTAATTATCTTATTGGGTTCTACAAGACTTTTATGTTTAATCACTAAATCTGTCAACCTAAAATAACGTCAGGAGTTTAAAGCAGTTGATAAAACAAAGATGGTCTTTTTAAGGATCTATAATATAAAAGTTACAATTGTTGCCATGAAGTAAAAAATGAAAAAAATATATCAGTAACAGATCCATAGAAGTCCTAATTGACTGAAATACCGTCAATAATTAAATTTATTACAAACAATTTATGCATTTGTTGAGTTTCAAAAGAAAAGTGTAGACTGACCAAGATGTCCGACTTCTTCACAAATTATTTTATTTTGTTTCACATCTTTTTATTCCTCTGTTGAATTTCACAGCTAAGCATATAAATGCTTAAATAATTTATACAAACTGTTTTACAGCAACCTGGCTGTAATACAATATTAAATATTAATAAATATGTGGCGTTTCACCTCACTTCTTTTCTTTATATCACAACCACTGGAATAAAGTGCAGATGGTAAAATGTTCAGTAATTACTGCCATTAGAATAAATCATTAGAAATTTAAAATTTTCTCAACACAAACAAATATCTTTTAAAACAGTTTTAAAAACCCTGAATTCGAACCAAACATTTGTTTTCAGGGAATTAAGACTTTGCTTAATAATAATGCTGCATTGTGAGGTAAGAAACATCCAAAACATTATCATTCAAAGAGTGATTAATAAAAAAAAAACAAAAACAAAAAAAACAAAAAAAAACAGACGTAGATTTAACCTAAGGAAATGTTCCTAAGAAAATGTGAAATAAGACGCTCCATCAAAGTAGACAAAGTTTTTAAAGAAGATTTAGCTAAAAGAGCATCAGAGATTATAGGAAAAAAGGTTAAATCCTTGTCACAAAGTTAGTGGACAGTTTAAAAGTGGAAAACCAACATTTACATTGTTAAGAGCTTAACTACTATGTTAATAGCATTTTATGTTTCAGTAAAAGCTATAATGCTAAAGTCAGCTAAGATGCTAATCTTAGCATGAATGTGCTCAACATTGCAAACCCAAGAATAAAGAGCAACATTAGCCAATATGGTGATATTAGTACAGGGTCTAACTAACACAAAATATACTGACATCACTAGCTGCTTTGCTAACCCCAAAATCTTAGCTAACATTAACTACCTCTATCTTCTAAGCTAACTACAGCTTGCAGGCTATAATCAACTAAAATGCTATCACTAGTTGGCCTGGCTTTAGGCTACAGAAGACTTTAGAGCTTTTTACTCAAATATAAAGTGCAGTATTTCAGAAAAGGAAGTCTTCAGTTGATGCTTGGCACCATGTTTGTTAATTTATGCTAGCAGCTTTGCTGCTCTGCAGGCAACAGCTTGAATTCCAACATTTCTTTCCAAGAAGATGAGTCACTGATAGCAGAGGAAGCTGATGATTAGCCTTGGCACATCGAGTTGAGCTATAGCGTTTAGAGCTGTGGTTCCCAACTTCCTCCTCACCGCCAACCGGCTGAGCTGCTGCAGAGTCATTGGTCTGGCTGTGGGCAGAGAAAAGGACGGCATTAGCTCCATGACTTCACAGCAGCTACACACAGTTCGTTAGCTCCGTGACTTCACAGCAGCTACACACAGTTCGTTAGCCCCGTGACTTCAGAGCAGCTACACACAGTTCGTTAGCTCTGTGACTTCAGAGCAGCTACACGCAGTCCGTTAGCCCCGTGACTTCAGAGCAGCTACACACAGTTCGTTAGCTCCGTGACTTCACAGCAGCTACACACAGTTCGTTAGCCCCGTGACTTCAGAGCAGCTACACACAGTTCGTTAGCTCCATGACTTCACAGCAGCTACACACAGTTCGTTAGCCCCGTGACTTCAGAGCAGCTACACACAGTTCGTTAGCTCCGTGACTTCACAGCAGCTACACACAGTTCGTTAGCCCCGTGACTTCAGAGCAGCTACACGCAGTTCGTTAGCTCCATGACTTCACAGCAGCTACACACAGTTCGTTAGCCCCGTGACTTCAGAGCAGCTACACGCAGTTCGTTAGCTCCGTGACTTCACAGCAGCTACACACAGTCCGTTAGCTCCGTGACTTCAGAGCAGCTACACGCAGTTCGTTAGCCCTGTGACTTCACAGCAGCTACACACAGTTCGTTAGCTCCGTGACTTCAGAGCAGCTACAGGCAATTCGTTAGCTCCGTGACTTCACAGCAGCTACAGGCAATTCGTTAGCTCCGTGACTTCACAGCAGCTACACGCAGTTCGTTAGCTCCGTGACTTCACAGCAGCTACACACAGTTTGTTAGCTCCGTGACTTCAGAGCAGCTACACGCAGTTCGTTAGCCCCGTGACTTCACAGCAGCTACACACAGTTCGTCAACTCCGTGACTTCACAGCAGCTACACACAGTTCCTTAGCTCCGTGACTTCACAGCAGCTACACACAGTTCCTTAGCTCCGTGACTTCACAGCAGCTACACACAGTTCGTTAGCTCTGTGACTTCACAGCAGCTACTCACAGTTCGTTAGCTCCGTGACTTCACAGCAGCTACACACAGTTCGTTAGCTCCGTGACTTCAGAGCAGCTACAGGCAATTCGTTAGCTCCGTGACTTCAGAGCAGCTACACACAGTTCGTTAGCTCCATGACTTCACAGCAGCTACACACAGTTCGTTAGCTCCGTGACTTCAGAGCAGCTACAGGCAATTCGTTAGCTCCGTGACTTCACAGCAGCTACACACAGTTCATTAGCTCCGTGACTTCACAGCAGCTACACGCAGTTCGTTAGCTCCATGACTTCACATCAGCTACTTACAGTTCGTTAGCTCCGTGACTTCACAGCAGCTACACGCAGTTCGTTAGCTCCGTGACTTCACGGCAGCTACACGCAGTTCGTTAGCTCCGTGACTTCACGGCAGCTACACGCAGTTCGTTAGCTCCGTGACTTCACAGCAGCTACACGCAGTTTGTTAGCTCCGTGACTTCACAGCAGCTACACGCAGTTCGTTAGCTCCGTGACTTCACCGCAGCTACACGCAGTTCGTTAGCTCCGTGACTTCACAGCAGCTACACGCAGTTCGTTAGCTCCGTGACTTCACAGCAGCTACACGCAGTTCGTTAGCTCCGTGACTTCACAGCAGCTACACACAGTTCGTTAGCTCCGTGACTTCACAGCAGCTACACACAGTTCATTAGCTCCGTGACTTCACAGCAGCTACACGCAGTTCCTTAGCTCCGTGACTTCACAGCAGCTATACGCAGTTCGTTAGCTCCGTGACTTCACAGCAGCTACAGGCAGTTCGTTAGCTCCGTGATTTCACAGCAGCTACACACAGTTCGTTAGCTCCGTGACTTTACATAATCAGCGGAGCACTTGTGCATCATGTTAATCAGTGAAAGCTGTTACACATCCAACGCTACTACTCTGCACGTCAATGTCCGCGTATGTCTTTTCCGTCCTTCACGATCAAAAATATGGAGTCAAGCTATTTTTTGCTCCGGTTCATTGGAAGACGGCCAGATAAAGATCCACAATCGCAATCGCTCCCAACAGGAAAAAGAATGCCAAGAAGATCCGGTTTGTCAAAATAAAATATGGTAACGACAGATCGGTAACCAGAAACTAGAGCATAATTCTAATATATTCCCTAAAAAACTGAGAGCGTTTGTTTAAATGATTGGATGCAAACTATTGGTACTTCAACATACCAGGAAGCAGATTCCTCATCTCCATCAAAAGACTTATTTTATACCGAGAGGTTTAAGTCAAATCAAATATAGTAACATTAACTTCCAAGAGCGCATCTCACAACTTTAAAAGTAACTACTTATCTCAGGCATGGATGAAGAGAAGCCGAGTTTGGAAGTAGTCCTAATCATCAATTAAAACGTTACGAAAAGAAAATGTTTGGGGAAAAAACGTGTCATTGATGCTGATGATGAGCTTAAATGATGTCATATTAAATGAAGTGTTCATGACCTCATATAGAGTTCCTACGAATATTTATACTCTCCTTGAGCTTCAAGGAACTCAGAGTGGAGCAGGACTGGAGGAACCGCCAAGGTTGTAGTCTTTGCTTTGCGCAGGCGGTCTGAACCGGGGCGGGGCATGGTGGGGCAGAGCGTTACATAGGATGTAGAATTTCGAGGTTAGTCTGCCATCTACTGGTGTTTTGTTGACATGGCACCATTTCTAAGAAACCTTGGTTTTCTACCCTCATACCAAACTAAAACTCACACTCATAAAACTGCAGGCAGGCTTCAGAGGGAGAGCCAGGTGTGGTGTAATCCACCGGTTTCCTGTTGTGTTGATCTCTGGCGTAGATGTTAGCCCCAAACTCTACCAGTGTCTCAATCATCTCAACGCTCATATGTTTAGCTGCATGGTGCAGCGGAGTCTCATGTAGCCGAGCAGAATTGACTTTAGCACCTAAAAAACAAAATGTTCTGATCAACTTATTAAAAGTCTCGTTTTATTTTTCAAACATTTAGAAATATTCAGATGTCACCTTTAAATTTTTTTTGTTTAGCAGCAACACCAACCTGCATTGAGAAGAACTTTAACACAATCGGTGTGCGCGTTAACACAAGCCACGTGCAGCGGGGTGCCGTAGTAAAGGTCGTATGCCTCTAGAGAAGCGCCCATGGCAATCAGCAGCTTCACACAGTCTGAGTTACCTGTAATAAAAGCCCAGATTTAAAACAGCCTTGATTTGGGTTAGTTTGAGGAAGAAGATTGAAAATGAAGTGATTGCCTCCCATGCAGGCTTCATGAAGAGGGGAGGCGGTGCGGGAGGTGAGGGCGGGGTTAGCCATGGCACCATGATCCAGCAGCAGCTTCACACACTCCAGACTCCCAGAGGAACAGGCGTCGCACAGCGGCGTGCTTCCATCCACGTTCCTGGCATCCACCTGCAGTGAAACATGGAGAGCACACTTTGATCATCCGTTCCATCTTTGTCCATAAGCTTAGCGCTTCTGAGGATTCCCTTTTACAAAAATTAATAATGATTGAAACATTATTGAAATGATTAAATAAATTCCCAGGAAGCACTATTACTACTGCCTGAATACAGAGACTTCCCGTGAATTCTGTATATGTAAATTATTTAAAAACATCTTTATTAAAAAGTAGTATTTAACTATGCCCTCCATGACCTTTATTGTTTTGGCTGTTTTTTCATTACAGCGCAAATTAAAATATTGTTTACAAATACAGATCCGAGCAGAACATTTACCTAAAGTAAAACCAACATTTTGAAGTGTGTGTCCATCAGCAGGTCTGGGCTTTGACTAGGCCAGCATGTGAGGATAATGAGTTTTCCTGCTACTAATTGCATCTCAATGAAATCTGCTGATTTTCCGAACGAAGGAAACCTTTTAACCTGAACTTCAGGAAACGGTTTTACACTTTAGAAAATGAGACCAGTTTATACATTACAGAGTAAAGCAAAATGGAAGCTTTTGCCACAAGGAAATTCATCCAACTATTTACCCCTTGGTTTGAAAAAAAATGGAGATAAATGAGTTTTTTTATTTACTGCCTCTGTTATTATAAACAGCTGAGCACTTTATTATCTACCGGTACGTGCGGTCCGGGCCGGGTTTTAAATGGGTTTAGATGCGGGTAACGGGTCGGGTCTGGGTTCTGAAGTCTACCGGTCCGTGCGGTCCAGGCCGGGTTTTATATGGGTTTAGATGCGGGTAACGGGTCGGGTCTGGGTTCTGAAGTCTACCGGTCCGTGCGGTCCAGGCCGGGTTTTATATGGGTTTAGATGCGGGTAACGGGTCGGGTCTGGGTTCTGAAGTCTACCGGTCCGTGTGGTCCAGGCCTGGTTTTATATGGGTTTAGATGCGGGTAACGGGTCGGGTCCTCGTTCTGAAGTCTACCCGTCCGTGCGGTCCAGGCCGGGTTTTAAATGGGTTTAGATGCGGGTAACGGGTCGGGTCTGAAGTCTACCGGTGCGCCGGATATAGTTTAGAAAAATCAGAGCAATGCAGAATTCTGTGCTGATTTCTCCTCAATAGAGAACAGTGACGCCCTCTAGTGGACAGAAGTTACATTACATCACATTAATGAATGGTTAAAAAAATGTAATAATCATGAATTGAAAACAATTTTGTAGATTTATCAGTAAATCCATATAAGATGCCCTCCTCCCCCCAACAGGGTCACCTGTGCTCCAGCGTCCAGCAGCAGCTGCACACACTGGGCCTGCCCCCGTAGGCAGGCCTCATGGAGCGGGGTGATGGAGTCCACAGCCACCACGTTGACCGAAGCGCCGCTCTGTATGAGGCGCTGCAGGTGAGAGGCGTGGCCAAGGGACGCCGCCTTGTGGACCTCCGTTCTCTCAGCCCAGCAGCCTGAAGACACAAATGAAATGATCTGGTTTCGTCATGTGAAGCTTGATAACATCACAGGCAAACAGGAAGACTGAAACATCAGCCGGACATTATTTCTCTCATGTTTGTGGATTCCTGAGTGCTCAGCAGAAATAACTTGAGATCGATTGATTCCTGTTTTGTTTTACTAATTAATAACCATTTTCTCTTAAAATTAGTGAGTGAAGTAGTGGTTAGGGCATAGAGCTTGGAATCCAGAGTGTTTAAGTTCGAGCCCCACTCCCACAGACTGCCACTCTGGGTCCCTGAGCAAGACCCTTAACCCCCCACTGCTCCCCAAGGGGAGGGGTTAAATGCAGAGAGGGAATTTCTCCAATGTGAGATCAATAACCAATTATTTTTAATTATTTTTTATATTCTTAACTTTATCATCATAGTGCCATTCTTAAAATTGGTTTTAAAAAAATTGGCTGCACATATCAGGGATCGGTTAGACTGATGACAAATAATCAGCCTTAAAAAAAACAGCATCAATTGAAGTTTAGAAGAATTAAGTCATTCATTTAGTGACTAAAAATGCTGATAAAATGAACCCCTTCCAGAAAATGTGGGATTTGCAACAAAATTCACACACCAGAGGAACCTTCAGCAGGACATTTATATCAGCTGGATTTTATTCAAAATCCATCCATTCATTTTCTACTCCTAAGTGGGGTCGCCAGGGGTGCTGGTGTCAATGGGCGAGATCAGCTACTTAGCAGTTAGCAGATATTAGCTACTTAGCAGATATTAGCTACTTAGCAGATATTAGCTACTTAGCAGATATATTAGCCAGTTAGCAGATATTAGCTCGTTATGGCTAGCTAGCAGCCCAGACAGGGTGGTCACTGTGACAGCGGCTCAGGCCTGCGGTCTGGCCGCTGCAGGTCCTCCACTCACCGATGTCTCCAACGTAACAGGACTGAGAAACCTCCACTTCCATCCTGCTTCAGTCTTCCACAGGAAGCGGCCTTAATAACAGCTGATTGTTTGTAAACAGCCGCCTATGGAGCTCGCGCGCTGCACCGTCACGTGACACACCCCTCCCTCCTCCTCCGCAGGGCAGGTTGGTACTTGTAGTTTTTTAAGAATATTTCCGAAAAAGTGAGATGAGAAGAGAAGCTGGGGATCTGGGCTCTGTTCGAAAACCTAGGACGTGTCCTCCAAGGACGCGGTCTACCTGGACTGGATCCTTCGAAGTCCTTGAAAATAAGGAGACCGGAAGAGTTTTGGCTGTAAATTCGACCAGGTCTACCCTTTGGCGGGTTTTACCGCCGTATGCTCTGTTGCTTAGCAACCGTGAACGTTGACACACAAAGCAGGAAAAGAATGAATACAGAAGTTTTCAAAACTGTTTATTTATTTATTTGTTATTGTGAAGTGAACAAATACTACACTCACAAGAATCCAGAGTGGAATAAATGTTCCACCCACCGTGAGCAGGAACAAATCAAATGTAATGATAGAAACCTTAGTCAGTTAAATAACCTGCTGCTGTCATTCTGCACATCTCTGATGTTGCTGCTATTTTCAAATATCCATTACTGTAAAAATGTCCATAGCTGCATATTGGTTATTTATTCTCCAGTTTTATATTGTTAAAACACTTTACAGTATTTTATTGTTTATATTTTAACTCTTCCCTATTATGTTATTCTTATACATTTTTCTAAGGTCCACATTTGTGTGACCATTTTCAATAATCTTTCTGCTGCTGTAAATTTGCCCATTGTGGGACAATAAAGGGATTTTCTATTCTATTCTATAAAAGGGGTAGAAAGATATAAGTAAATCTAAACAATATATTTACAAAAAATATATCTGCAAAATCTCTAAAATTCAACAACAAAAAATACGTAGTTAAGCATATTGACAAAATAGCAATAAAAAGATAAAAATCCTATCAGATTTATAGTCCCCACCCTGCAAATATATTAGAATCTGTCCTTAAATTCCAGCCAAACCCATTTACACAGTAACAGATAAAAACCTTTAGATAAATCAAACATTACCGCCACATATCTGACTCTATAACCATTAAAACAACTATTTTCATTCATTTCAGACGGAACTATTCACAGACTGGATTATATTAAACTGAACTTCCAATTTTCACCACTGTTCGGCGCCAAGTAACCTTTCCTCTGATCACGGCTTGCTTGGTCTCGCAATGAATCCTGGGATATCCAAGAATACCGAGGATACATCGGACCCGTCCTTCAAATCGGGCAAAAAGAAGGACGCATTTTAAGGCCGCATAACGAGGACTCTTGGAATCCGACCAGACCTCGGCGCCGCGCTATGACGTAATCGGCCTTCGAATCCGGTCTTCTAAGGATGCGTCCTAGGTTTTCGAACAGAGCCCTAGTTTCCTTTTTTTCACCATGGAGGTGATCTTTTCCAGGAGTTTGTGGGTGTGTTTGATTCTAGAGGCTGGACCTCCAAAGACTCGGTCTACCCGGATCCTCCAAGGACCAGGTCTACCCGGATCCTCCAAGGACCGTGTCTACCCGGATCCTCCAAGGACCGGGTCTACCCGGATCCTCCAAGAACCCGGTCTACCAGGATCCTTCAAGGACCGGGTCTACCTGGATCCTCCAAGGACCCGGTCTACCTGGATCCTCCAAGGACCGGGTCTACCTGGATCCTCCAAGGACCCGGTCTACCCGGATCCTCCAAGAACCCGGTCTACCAGGATCCTTCAAGGACCGGGTCTACCCAGATCCTCCAAGGACCGGGTCTACCTGGATCCTCCAAGGACCCGGTCTACCCGGATCCTTCAAGGACCGGGTCTACCTGGATCCTCCAAGGACCGTGTCTACCCGGATCCTCCAAGGACCGGGTCTACCCGGATCCTCCAAGAACCCGGTCTACCAAGATCCTTCAAGGACCGGGTCTACCTGGATCCTCCAAGGACTCGGTCTACCTGGATCCTCCAAGGACCGGGTCTACCCGGATCCTCCAAGAACCCGGTCTACCAGGATCCTTCAAGGACCGGGTCTACCCAGATCCTCCAAGGACCGGGTCTACCTGGATCCTCCAAGGACCCGGTCTACCCGGATCCTCCAAGAACCCGGTCTACCCAGATCCTCCAAGGACCGGGTCTACCAGGATCCTTCAACGACCGGGTCTAACCGGACCATTCAAGGACCGTGTCTACCCGGATCCTCCAAGGACCGGGTCTACCAGGATCCTTCAAGGACCGGGTCTACCAGGATCCTTCAAGGACCGGGTCTACCCGGATCATTCAAGGACCGTGTCTACCCGGATCCTCCAAGGACCGGGTCTACCTGGATCCTCCAAGGACCAGGTCTCCCCGAATGTAGACCTGGTCCTTGGAGGTGCGTGAATATAAGGATGGAGAATCTGGCTGTGGGTTCAAACCACTGATCTGTGTTTATTCACTGGATGCTGATGCCTGTTGGTAGTTTGGCACCTGAGAGATAAATTTATGAAAAAGCTGCAGTGACTGTGCAGAACGAGCCGGTTAAAGTTACAACAATTTCTTTAAAATAATAAATTCACTAAAAAGAGAAAATGCAGGGCAGTAAGGAGCAACAGAGTCAATGGATCAGTCTGTTTAGAAAAGATAAACTGGTCCGGGGGGCGAATCACAGCGGCGATCCAGCCACTGGCATCCCAACAACCGTCCGTTCCTCGACGGCGAACATTTGGAGGAGTCTCCGCGGCAACCAGTCCTTTTTCTTACCTGATGGAGAACACCTGAGCCGCTGGTATGAGCGGTAACACCAAAAAATAAATAACTTCAAAATATAAGAAATATAAATCTGAAAAATAAAACATGAAATTAACTTGAAAAGGAAGAACAAAGGCACCATTACCACAGTAGTAGTAGAAGCTATGAAGGTTATTTTGGTTACACTCTAAGTTTGATTTGTGGAGGATAAAAAAAATTCACAAGTAAAAATTTTAAGTACAAGAACATAAATTCTGTTCAACAAGTTGCTCATCAAAAACCTCACATTCTCAGTTTTGGTCCTGAGCTGTTCTTACTATTGAGTCACAAATTCAACCAAAAAATTTAGTGAAGAAAAAAATTGTACTTGTGAGAATATAACTCTCTCTACAACTTCAAATTCACACTTATAATGCACAAATACTTTTGAAACAAAATAACCACCAAATGAATCCACCTGCCGCCATATTGGTACTCCCTAATTAGACTGGTCGCAATGTAAACAATCCATGCGCTACAGCATCGAACAATGATGATGTTCTCTGTTTCATCGCATCAGTAGATTACTTTAATTAAGAATAAAAAAAAGGCCCATTTCATTGCATAGTCATCATGAAGTCAATAAATCTATAAATCATGTTGAATAACATATTATACAAATCCATCACAATAAAATAAAAGTGACGAAGTACATGTAATATGCATGTATTTATTACATTATTGCTGTTATAACATATTACATATGTAATGGATAGTGAACCATTTAAATTAAGTTGCTTAAATTATTCACTTTTGTAGACTATTTATTGCAAATTATTTAAAGGATGTTTCAGATTGTTTAATATTTGTCTGTTTTGATTAGCACTGGCTGTTTGTATTTTGTTTAATCGTATTTGCACTTTGTAAAGTTTTTTTTTTTGTTATGTACCTCACGGGCTGCCGTAGCTAAATGAGGACAGACCCTATAAAAGCTGGCAAATCATTGTATCAATGAATGACTTCAACAAACTGTCAGAGATGTGCTTGGCACTATCGACACTTAGCGTTTCTCGGTGAAAGCAGCGAGGTACGTTTTATTTTGTTGTTTGTGTGTTGTAAGGTAATATTTATATTCTAATATTTGTATATCTGTTTAGTTTTCACAGTGATTACAGTGACTGAGGTAAAACAAGATGATTGAGATGACTGATGGTCCATATCAAAGAAAAATAAACAAACCTTGGAAATCACCCGTCGAGACCGCGCATTCATTTAAGTGCTGGGGAGCTGCTACAACATATCATTTCAAAATTTTACATCAAGACTGAATTACAAGTACATATCTGTTATTGCTACAGTATTTAAATGTTTGCAGATTGTGCATGAATGATGGCATATACTTTATGCTGTGTCTGTGCATCAGCCGTTAAAAATTGTGGAATTGCACTTTTTTCATCAATATAACATGAAATATATTTCCATACATGATTTTTTCAAATGAGAAATACAACAAATTCTACAAAAACGACAGCATCCTCCACTTAATAAAGAATAACTACAATGAAATTTCACAGTGAAATGTAAAATATTTACTCTACTTTCTAACGTTATACAGAATGTCCGTGGCTAACTCAGTCAATATCTTCGAGCCGGTCCGAGATTAATGTTACGCAACATACTATACTATAGTAGCCTAGTAAACTAGCCCCACCCACCAGCGGCCAGGATCATTTTTGCCTACAAGTGGACTAGCCTCGATCAATGCCCCGGGCTCTAGAACTGGCGAGCTAATCACAACGCAGAGATGTGTTTTGAATGTCTGTATGCAAAGTGGGCGGGGTTTGAGGACTTGACGACAAAGCTGCGCGACGCTGGAGAAGCACAACAGTAGCATGATGCACTGCGGCTGCAACAGCTTTCAATGGAGCGCTCCTTTGAAAGTTAAAAGTTCTCTTTCTGTTGCTGTTGTTCAATAAAAGTACTTTTTAAGATCATTTGAGGCGAGAATAGTATACTTTAAAGCGTCACTATATCGTCCATTTACTGATTTAATGCATAATTAAAAAACTATTTTCCGAAGTTGAGAGGACCGCGGCAACCAGCGTAGCTCCGAGCTAACGGCAGCCCGTCTGCAGTGGCCAGGGCTAACGGTAGCCTTGGCTAACGGCAGCCCGTCTGCAGTGGTCAGGGCTAACGGTAGCCAGGGCTAACCGTAGCCCGTCTGCAGCGGCCAGGGCTAACGGCAGCCATGGCTAACGGCAGCCCGTCTGCAGTGGCCAGGGCTAACGGCAGCCAGGGCTAACCATAGCCCGTCTGCAGCGGCCCTCTCTTGGCTTAGCCGTGTGTGAAGGACCGCTGGTTCTGATGGCAAGTTTTGACTCAGCTTTGGAATCAGTTCTGGAAGGATCAGACTTTGGGTTTTAGTTGAAACGTGAGCAGGAAGAGGCTCTACGCTCATTCATTTTTAAGAAGGACGTATTCGCCGTTTTACCGACAGGCTGTTTATTTCCACTCCCCCACCAGCTTCCTGTGGCGCTTCCTACATCCCAGTCAGCGGCTCTCATTGGTCAGAGCATTGGCCAATAGGCACAGACATGGTTTGAAAAACAACAGGTTGTTCTCACCAACAATCTTCCGATGTCTCATTCATCAGGGCCAGACTAGATTACACATTTAATCTCACATATAGTCTGGTTTATCAGGTTTGGTGCTGGTGTTCTGTTCAGATTGAGGAACTGACCTATTTTGTTCCACCACTGGTGGCGGTGTGGAGGGGGAAATTCTAGATTTGAGAAGGCAGAAAGGGTTTGGGTGACGGGAGGTCGTACTGTTTTACCACTTTCTTTGGCACACAATAGCCTGCGTCCTTTGATTAAGCTGTTATATCCGCAATGTCCATAATTACCTGTCTATCCTACTTGCTGTAAAAGACCGCCACTCCGACAGTTTGTTCATCTACAAACTGACCTCAGTAAATGGAAACGCCCGCAACTCATCTCCCGCTTTGGACATCATCTTGTAAGCGATTAATACCAGGATTCCTCGCACCCAGAGGCGATTAAAAGGTGTCTGATAGTCGCTATGCCAGTATTATTCTATTCCATTAACACTTTAATATTGTTGTGATGGATTTTTATTTGTTATATTAAATGATTTATAGACTTCATTGACCTCATAATGACTATGCAAAGTGATGAACCTACACTATATTGCCAAAAGTATTTGCTCACCTGCCTTGACTCACATATGAGCTTAAGTGACATCCCGTTCCTAATCCATAGGGTTCAATATGACGTCGGTCCACCCTTTGCAGCTAGAACAGCTTCAACTCTTCTGGGAAGGCTGTCCACAAGGTTTAGGAGTGTGTTTATGGGAATTTTTGACCATTCTTCCAGAAGCGCATTTGTGAGGTTGCACACTGATGTTGGATGAGAAGGCCTGGCTCTCAGTCTCCGCTCTAATTCATCCCAAAGGTGTTCTATCGGGTTGAGGTCAGGACTCTGTGCAGGCCAGTCAAGTTCATCCACACCAGACTCTGTCATCCATGTCTTTATGGACCTTGCTTTGTGCACTGGTGCACAGTCATGTTGGAAGAGGAAGGGGCCAGCTCCAAACTGTTCCCACAAAGTTGGGAGCATGGAATTGTCCAAAATGTCTTGGTATGCTGAAGCATTCAGAGTTCCTTTCACTGGAACTAAGGGGCCAAGCCCAGCTCCTGAAAAACAACCCCACACCATAATCCCCCCTCCAACAAACTTTACACTTGGCACAATGCAGTCAGACAAGTACCGTTCTCCTGGCAACCGCCAAACCCAGACCCGTCCATCAGATTGCCAGATGGAGAAGCGCGATTCGTCACTCCAGAGAACGCGTCTCCACTGCTCTAGAGTCCAGTGGCGGCGTGCTTTACACCACCGCATCCGACGCTTTGCATTGCACTTGGTGATGTATGGCTTGGATGCAGCTGCTCGACCATGGAAACCCATTCCATGAAGCTCTCTGCGCACTGTTCTTGAGCTAATCTGAAGGCCACATGAAGTTTGGAGGTCTGTAGTGATTGACTCTGCAGAAAGTTGGCGACCTCTTCGCACTATGCGCGTCAGCATCCGCTGACCCCGCTCCGTCAGTTTACGTGGCCTACCACTTCGTGGCTGAGTTGCTGTCGTTCCCAAACACTTCCATTTTCTTATAATACAGCTGACAGTTGACTGTGGAATATTTAGGAGCGAGGAAATTTCACGACTGGATTTGTTGCACAGGTGGCATCCTATCACAGTTCCACGCTGGAATTCACTGAGCTCCTGAGAGCGACCCATTCTTTCACAAATGTTTGTAAAAACAGTCTGCATGCCTAGGTGCTTGAATTTATACACCTGTGGCCATGGAAGTGATTGGAACACTTGATTCCAATAATTTGGATGGGTGAGCAAATACTTTTGGCAATATAGTGTATTTTTTTCATCATAAGTCACAGTTATCTGATGCTATGAAACAGCCAGTTTGTGTCAAAGTGATGAATTTATCTTTATTTTAAAAGTCTTAAGTCCCCCTGAAAATGGGAACATCATGGTTGTTCGATGCTGTAGCGCACAGATTGCTTACACAGGTCTAAATAGGGAGTACCAACATGGTGGCTGGTGTGTTCACAGCACCGTGTACTATCAACGGCGTATCAGTAATCCAGTCAATAAATAGAGATCAGTGGTACTGCCTTCTTCAGCTTTCAGCACTTGTATGCTCTGTCGCTTAGCAACAGAATGGATGCTGAACGTCTCCCTACTGTTCTGTTTGCTAATAACATTTCTGAGGAGCTTCAGATATCAGATTTATAGTTCCCACCCTGCAGAGATGATGGAATCTGAGCTTAAATATCAGCCAAACCCATTTACACAGGGACAGATAAAACCTTTAGATATACCAAACATTACCGCCACATATCTGACTCTATAACCATTAAAACTATTTTCATTCATTTCAGACGGAACTATTCACAGACTGGATTATTTTAAACTGCACTTCATTTCCACTGAGCTTTTTCCACTGAGCACAGAGCAGCCAGTTTGCTTGTTTCAATTAGCCAAACTTTACCTGTCGAGTAGAAACTTCACTACCGCTGCATCAGTGGGAAGCCCTACCTGTGCTTTCAGCGGACGCCATCGTGTGAAAAAATCTCCCAGAAACACTCTGGTCTGGTTTCTCTCTTCTGAGGCCTTTATTTTCCTCTCATCCACTTCGTAGACACTTTTTCCTCTTAGGAACCTCGGCCATTTTCAAAGAACCGCGTGGAGAAAGGTGAGCTTCAACGACTGTCTGAAACAGTAGCTCACCACAGATATACGCCTGAAAGTGTGCATACGCAGAAAAACAGACGAGCTCATAGGACGGCCTTACGTAAACATATCACCATAATGATTGACAGTTAGGAGGACCACTGATTGTGATGATCCACCAGGAAATAAAACAGCTACTATATCTATAACTCATCCACTCCAACAACATTCCCAAGTCCTTTGGGAAAGAAAACCCCACATCACCATAGATCCTCCACCAACATGAAGTCATTTTCCAAACACTCCTAAACCCATAAATATGATTCATTATGCAGCTTTTTGTCTAAATGAATCATGAGCCCCAATAAAAGTAAATATAAAGAAAATTTTAAATCAAGATTGACAAAAAAATAAACTTTTGTTATATTAATTTTACACTTATTGTAAGAAGCATATCTCTTAAAATGTGAAATTTGCCTCAAATTAATAAATACAATTCATATAATTAAATTTAAGACTGTATTTTAAATACATTTTTTAGTGTAACATTGTGTTACTCCAACAAACTGAATGAATATTTTGGTTCACAGGAGATCAGAGAACTGGAGGTAGTTGTAGATGCGATGGGAGATCTTCAGCTGCTCCATGACCTCTGAGGCTTTGGTACCCAGCATCCTCCTCAACGCAATCCTGCAAAGCTGCTGGAGGTTCAGAGGGTTACCTGGAAGCAACAAAACATCTCCATTAATCTACTTTCTTTTTCTTCAAAAGGAAAAGCTATAAAAGGCTGCGAGGAACTAAAATAATTTCGTTAAAGTTACTTTCGTAAAACTGGAGGCAGGAGTAAGAGGGCGAAGCCGGGTCTGTGTAATCGATGGGCTTTCTTCCAAGATTGTCACTGGCAAAAACATCGGCTCCAAACTCTACCAGCAGCTCCATCATGTCCACCATGTTGGCTCGAGCTGCGTGGTGCAAAGCCGTCTCATGGAACTTCACCGAATTCACGTCGGCGCCTGCATGAAGAACGGGAGCAGAATCAGAGGCCTCCTTCGAAGGTGAACGAGGCCTCAGAAGAATCAAAAAGAAAAGTACATCAATCAGCTGAACCAACTCCTCTGTTCCACCGTTAGCAGGTAGAACAGAATAAAATAATAAAATTAATTTAGAACTTTTTTTTTACGTGAATAGAAATCTTGTGCCCTCCATGCTCACTCAAGTTTCCATCAAATAGGACCAGCCTTTTTTCTAAGCATTCCCACATCATGACACCTCCACCACCATGAATCAACGTGACGTGGCGTATAATTAGTTTTATTGTTTTGATCGGAATAAAGAGCATTTGTAAAACCTTGGTCACCTGAGTTAAGGTGGATGGCCTCCTTTTCTTAACGAGCCACAAAGGAAGCTCTGATAGATGTACGAGCCTAGACGTCATTACTAAGATGCCTTTTTGGCCGTTGGCTTGACCTGTGACATCATCGCCATATTGAACGGGGCAGAGAGGAGCCTCTGCTGAGCTGCATGGAAATCAACCAATCGTTTTATAGTACAAACCAGAGCTGCTAGCTTTAGCTTTTAATCCCACGTTCGTGGTCTTAATTTTTTTTATGCGTCAGATGGGAACATTTGAATATCTGGGATAGACACAGAACTAGGGGGAACTATTAGGGGCGCATTAAAGGGAACCTAATTACTAGCTCTACAAGAAACAAAAGTCATGAGTAATACGTAAAAGTACGAGACAAAAGTGGCGACATTGCAAGACAGAAATAACTCTTGCGAGAATTACGTAGTAATTAGGAGAAAAACATCATGAGAAAAAAGCCAGAACATCAGGAGAACTGAGAAGATATTACTGATACTATTGCTAATATTAAAATGAATATAAAGTATGTTATGAGATCAAAGTCCCTCTAATACAGAATAAGAGTCTAACAGCAGGTCTGCCTCCTCCAACATGGCGGATGGCAGCATAAGGCCAACCCACCCAATGAGGCGTCTGGGCACCTCTGTGTCCGACGCTCAGGACATTTCAAAAAACTTTTTCTACTTCCTGTCTCAGTGACGATGTCAGAAAAACCTTTTCATTCAAATACTGGATATTTACTAACTAGGACCTTCGGTTGAACGGCATCATATTCACCATCATGCTGTTGGATCACTAACAACCAGCCAGTTCAGATCTACTGAACCTTCTAGCCTCTGAATTTTCACCAACCTGCTTTTAGCAGTTCCTTGACACAATCCAAGCGCCCTTTAGCGCACGCTATGTGAAGAGGGGGGCCGAAGTGGATATCGAAGGCTTCCAGCTTTGCACCATTGGTTATCATCAGCCTGACGACGTCAGCATTACCTGGAAGGAATTCAATCATTACTGAATGGCGTATCCCAGTATAGGTTTCCTGTGGGAGGGGGCTGGTTACCGTGGATACAGGCCTCATGGAGCGGAGATGCAGTCAGTGCTGTTAGAGATGGGTTTACTTTGGCTCCGTACTCCAACAGCAGCTTTGCACATTCCAGGCTTCCAGCAGCACAGGCGCTGCAGAGAGGAGTACTGCCATGGATGGTCCGGATATCCACCTGGAAGAGCCAGAGATTATGCGCCTTTTCCCACCAGAACCAGCTGCTGTTCTGTGTTGGAGCAGTGAGACTGGAGCTGGACTCACCTGAGCTCCGGCCTCCAGCAGAAGGCGGGCACAGTTTGGATGGGCCTGTATGCAGGCCTCGTGTAGCGGCGTGATGTTATCCACAGTCACCACGTTAACGGGGGCCCCCTCTTCCAGCAGCTGCTTCAACTGGAGGGCCCTGCCATGGGCTGCTGCTTCATGCAGAGCTGTTCGGTCCGCCCAGGAGCCTTACAGACACAGTAACAGAGCAGAAGATGCTCAAACACCGCTACACCACCTCATGCAATATATGAAGATTTATCAGGAGTTTTTCTGCTGGGTAACATCATGGAAGGAGCAGCAAAGCAGCCGCAGATCATCACACAGGCGTCGCTTTGTGAACGACTCATTTAACCAAGAGAAACTCGGATGCAGCTGTCACTGGATCTGAGTTACTTTACTGCTCAGGATCTGTCACTTTGAGATATGACTGGTGATCCTAATCACCGCCACGCCCAGTCAATACAAACCTGCAGTTATGAGAAGGGTTGGTAAAGAAAGAGATGCCACAGAAAAAGCTGTAAGACATACGGAGCTTTTGACAAATAAACAACTTGGAATTTCTCCATGTTATTGAACTGAAATGTTTTGCAATTTCCTGCAGAGGGTCTAGATGCCAAGTTACTGAGATTTTAAAGTCATACAGAGGAGACTTGAAAATAACATTTTCTCTGGCATTGTTATATTAGTAGACATCTTAATGTGTTTTTCAGCAGAGAGAGCTGCAGACTTAAAGATACAACAGATTTACTAGGATATGTAACATGCGACAAAGTATATCTCAGAAACATTTTATAAGAAAAAACACATTATGCATTACATGAACTTTTGTCTTTTGTAATTTAGCAAGACTCGGGAATTGTTATGGAAGTCAAATCAGAGCTGCAAGAACAGCCTAAAAGGTGAGAGATTTTTATTTGAAATATAAGAAACCCACAAGACTGAAAGCCCAAACAATAAATAAATGAAAAATCAGTGAATCAATGATTTCAGCATAAAGATCTGTGGGGAAAAAAAGAAATATTCTATTTTTCTGCTAATAAAGGAAGGAAATAATCACAGATACAGCTGAAAGGAAAAGGATCCAACAATTATTGGGTCATCAAAATTTGTTACTTTCAGTTTTTCATATTTTTCTTAATACATCTACAGACAGACAGACAGACAGACAGACACACTCCCTATTTGAAATTGTGGAAATAATAGGGATTCAATTCTATTCAGTTTATTTCTATAGCTCCAATTCACATTATATAATCTGAGGTCATTTTACAGAAACAATTCAACCAGATCATCCAGTCAGGTTGATTCAAAGTTTTCTAAGGAAAACCAGCTGATTGCATCGACTCATTGACTCTTCAGCAATCCCTCACACTAAGCATGCTTGTAGCGACAGTGGAGAGGAAAAACTCCCTTTGAACAGGAAGAAGCCTCCAGCAGAACCAGGCTCAGTGTGAGCGGCCATCTGCTGAGGCCCACTGGGGTTCAAGGAGACAGAAGCAGACATAGAAAAAGAAGCATAGATACAAAAGGCAACTGTCAACCAGCTCCACAGGCGGCCCCGTCCAGGAAACACACAGCCAGGCAGACGAGCTCCGAGCCAGCTCCCATGTCAGAGGATGAAGAGAGCACATCCAGTTAGTCACAGTCAGAGAAACAGGACTACACTGGAAAACAGGCCGATCTCCAACATCTAGAAACAAAGGTGTTGATGGCAGCAGCACAGCTGATATTTCTCTCCAGGATGGAGTCACAGCCAAACAGGAACAGACCAGATGAAGCTACTATGAGAAAAAGCAGAGAGAGCAGAACGTTAGAGATTGAACTAACAGATTCTGCAGAGTGGGAGAATAGAGATAGAATGAAGCAGAATGATGAAAAAGGGTTCCCTATGTCCTCCAGCAGTCTAAGCCTATAGCAGCATATCTATAGAGATAGCTCAGGATAACCTGAGCCACTCTAACTATAAGCTTTATCAAAAAGGAAAGTTTTAAGCCTAGCCTTAAAAGTAGACAGGGTGTCTGCCTCACGGACTAAAACTGCTAGTTGGTTCCACAGGAGAGGAGCCTGATAACTAAAAGATCTGCCTCCCATTCTACTTTTAGAAATTCTAGGAACCACTAGTAAACCTGCAGATTGAGAGCGAAGTGCTCTGTTAGGAACATAAGGAACAATCAGATCTCTGATATCAGATGGAGCTTGGCCATTTAAGGCTTTATATGTGAGAAGGAGGATTTTAAATTCTATTCTGGATTTAACAGGAAGCCAATGAAGAGAAGCCAGGATAGGAGAGATATGATCTCTCTTTTTCATTTTCATCAGAACTCTGGCTGCAGCATTTTGGATCAGCTGAAGGCTTTTAACTACAGTTTGTGGACTTCCTGATAGTAAAGAATTACAATAGTCCAGCCTTGAAGTAACAAATGCATGGACTAGTTTCTGAGCATCACCCCTGGACAGGAGATTGCTCACTTTGCAATGTTCCTCAGATGAAAGAAGGAAATTCTAGAAACCTCTTTGATCTGGGATTTAAATGACAGGTCCTGATCAAAAATTGAGTGATTGACTTTATTGATCTCACTGCATTACTGCAGGTCGTAAATCCCTGCTGCAACCCGAACAACTTATGCAATATATAATGTGCATTTACTATTTAATACCAAGTGCAATAACTATAAATATCTAAATAAATACCCATGCAAACACCCTGTGCAATAACCCCACCATAAAAATAAATAAATAAAAGCTCTCCTATGTGGACGCTGCACTGTATATAGTGTATATATCCCATCATGCAGCTTCTTCTTCTTCTTTGTTGATTATTTCAGCTGCTGGAATTTCTCCACTGTGAGACCAGTAAAGTCAACCAGTCAGAACCAGTCAGATCTACTGGTTTCTCTAACCAGCTGCTTCTGTTCTGCTCACCAATGTCGCATAAAAACGAGCGCCGGGCAGCTGTCACCTCCATGGCGGACTGAGCTGAACCAGTCAGCACAAAAACAGCAAGGAGGAGGAGGCGGGATCGCGATGCCGCAAGGGATTGTGGGAAATGTAGTCTAGAGGTGAAATACGAACCGTCCACCAGCAGCAGGCTGGGTTATTATACACCAATAATCCAGAGAGAAACGTCCAGGCTGCTGGAATAACTAAATGTACTAAAGTAAAAATAGTATAAACATCATATTTCTGCTCAGGTTCAAGTAGAGTGTTTAAAAAAAACACATTTTAATTTAAATTTTTTTGGGTTTATCTGCTGAGCAGCTCAGCAGATAAACCAACATTTCCATCAAATGAAAGTAAAAAGTAGCTTTTAAATAATTTATTCAAATTTTGGTAAAAAGTCTATTGATCTACTGAATACCCGTCATCATAACAACTGATTTAACATTTTCTGAGTTATAAAAATCTACTAAATCATTGAAAATAGGTTAAATTACATTAATTCCTCAGCAGAGTCAGCAGATGGAAAATAACATTAAACCAATAAAACCAAAAATGGTGAAAAATTTACACAAGCGTTTCACTAAGTGTAGCTCCAATGGAAGGAGTAAAATATTAAACAAGTAAAAATAGTGATACTTTAAAATATTTTACTCAATGTAAAGTAAAAAGTACAATGCTGTAAAAATACTGCTATAAGCACTTTTTAAAAATAAAGTTACTCCAGTAAATGTAACTAGTTACTACCCACCTCTGAAGGGAGGGAACACTTTGACGATTACCCAGGATTCTTTATTTTAATAATTTAAGACAAAGTGACTGTAATTAAAGTCAGATTTAGTGATTTGAGGCACAATCACAAACATCATCACTATCGTTCAATAACAGATCTGAGTCTGTTTCAATCGCTAAATTCAAATCCAGCGGCTCCAAACATTCGCCAGCTGATTACGTCATATCGCGGCACGAGGCCTGTTCTGATTAGAAGCGTCCTCCTTTTTGCACGTTGTGAAGGACGGGTCCGCTGGACCCTCCGTAGCCTTGGCTATCCCATGATTCATTGAGAATCCAAGTCATTCAGCTGCTCCGCGCTCAGAGGAAAAAGGTAAATGGTGCCATTCAGTGGTGAAAAAGTGCAGTTTAATATAATCCAGTCTGTGAATAATTCCGTCTGAAATGAATGAAAATAGTTTTAATGGTTATTGAGTCAGATATGTGGCGGTAATGTTTGGTTTATCTGTCCCTGTGTAAATGGGTTTGGCTGATATTTAAGCTCAGATTCTAATATCTCTGGGGGGGGACTATAAATGTGATATCTGAGACGACCGTACTGCCGCTGAAGCTCATTGGAAATGATCATTACCACCCAGAACAGCAGAGAGAAGCTCAGCATCCATCCTTTGCTGCTTTGTGTGTCAGCTGTCATGGTTGCTAGGCGACAGAGCGTCCAGTCAAGGTAAGCCGGGTCCTTGGAAGATCCAGCCTCTGAAATCGAACATTCTCTGAGTGGACCTCCTTAGTAGCCTGATAAACCAGATTAAAGATGAGATTAAATGTGTAATCTAGTCTGGCCCCGATGAATGAGACATCGGAAGATCGTTGATGTTTTTCAAACCATGTCTGTGCCTATTGGCCAACGCTCTGACCAATGAGGAGCTGACTGTAACAGGAAGCTGGTGGGGGGGTGGAAACAAACAGCCTGTCGTTAAACGGCGAATACGTCCTTCTATAAAATGAACGTAGAGCCTCTTCCTGCTCACGTTTAAATAAAAACCCAAAGTCTGATCCTTCCAGAACTGATTCCAAAGCTGAGTCAAACCAGAACTGGTCAATAGTCGTTACCGTCTTCCTTGTTTTCCTCCAGTGTCGTGCAGCTTTGTCGTCCTGCCCTAAAAACCCCGCCCACTTTGCATCCAAAAATTCAAACTACATCTCTGCGCTGTGATTGGCTGGCCAGTTCTAGGGCCTGAGGCATTGATCGAGGCTAGACCACTGAAGGGGAAGATGATTTTAGCCGCTTGGGCTAGTTTACCCTATTTAGAGTTGATTGAACCGATAGCAGCCGTTTTAAACTGAGAACTTTAGACTAGATCAATTTAGAGTTCGTTAAACCTGCTTCTTAAAAAGGATCCTGTAGGAAACGACTACTTGGTTTGTTTTTTGCCAATTCCTTTTTTTTCCACCTCTATTGGAAACTCAAAGAAAAAGACCTCATTTGTAACGTTTTTTTTGTGTAAATTTCTGCTGCAGTCTTTAATTTTGGATCATGTTTGAGTTTCAATTCAGCTGTTTTTTTTTCTCCTGCTCAAACGTCTTCTTTCAGCAGTTTGAACCTTATAAATAATTTTCTTTTAAAGTATAATCTCCATGACGATATTTGGTCCCATTATGGGTGAAACAGGTTATTGAAATCAACTAATTCAGGAATCGTTAAGTCGAGATTAGAGACTCTAAAACGTGCCTTTAACTGACAGAGCGACCAAAGCAGGAATATCAATACTGTGAAAAAATAAACTTTGGATTTAAGATAAAAAAAACTTTTTCTCCTGTCAATCTGCTCTATCCAGAAAACAAGTGGAAAAGTTTTAGTTTCAAGCGTTTTAACTATCTTCTTTATGGAACCTTTGGCTTTCAGATTATTGATTTATAAATTAACCGTTAGATTAATCTCATGCAGTCAGACGTAATCCAACCTTTAAGGAAACAGCAGTGATACTTTAGAGGTTAATCCGACTATAATGATTTCATGGAAACTTTTACAGGTAATTCATTAAAAAATGAACAAATACAAGAATCATTTTTTTTATTTTACTTTGCAGTACAGAAATCATTTGAGCCCAACAGTTTTTTCTTCTAGTTGTTCCAACAGAGCAGCAGTTCAACACTGCAGCAGTTTACATTTGGTCCTTAATTACAGCGAACCATGTTTACCGTCGATTAACGTTAGCATCGCGCCGTGACGACAGAAAACCCGGCTGGTGAGTTTCACAAGGATTTCCCTTGAATCCAGGCGGCCCCAGGAGTAATGGATGGGAACCCGGGGGGGCCGCGGCCCCAGGAGTAAAGGATGGGAACCCGGGGGGGCCGCGGCCCCAAGAGTAAAGGATGGGAACCCTGGGGCCGCGGCCCCAAGAGTAAAGGATGGGAACCCTGGGGCCGCGGCCCAAGAGTAAAGGATGGGAACCCTGGGGCCGCGGCCCCAGGAGTAATGGATGGGAACCCGGGGGGGCGCGGCCCCAAGAGTAAAGGATGGGAACCCTGGGGCCGCGGCCCCCGGGGTAAAGGATGGGAACCCGGGGGGCCCGCCTGTTGCTGCTGCTGGGGGGTTTTGAAGGGAAGAAAAGGACGAAGCCAAAGCTAGCCGTCTTTCAGGCAAACATGGAAAACTAACAGACCTGCAGGAACAACATGCAGATATTTTACAGTTTGATAGAACCTGAACCACGGATCAGTCTTGGACCCCACCCACCCTAAACCCACAAGATAGAAACTTTTTAAAGATACTGATGATTTTTATTTGAGTATTTGGGGTCTTTGGATAATGCTTTATCTAAACATGATGACTCAGAAGAGAAAAGTACTATTAGACATAAACTGTATTTAGTGCAACATCCACCTGAATGAGAAGTGAAAAAGCGAAGCTCCCTTTCTGAACCTTTCATCTTTCTAAGGATCATAAACTGGGCTGACCCTAACCCACCCAGGGCTACTGGTTTCTGTAGTTTATCTATTTGGGTTTTTTGTCATTTTAAAGAATCCAATCAGAGCCGTCTTTCATAATGTGGAGGACTGTGGATGTGTGGCGTCTACTCGGCAGCGTCGCCGAAGATGTCCTGCTTCCTGCGCTCCATTTCAGCAAAGTCAAAGTCTGAACCAGTCATTCGCTTGTAGATGTCCTTGATGTCGTCGCAGGTGGTCTCAAAGTGAGTTGTGGCATCATATGAGCGGGAGATGAAGATCTAAGAGGAACACAGAAAAAAATAAAACAGGTTTATATTTAATTCTGCTGTTAGACTGAATTAAACAAACTAGATGATTTAGGACTTTAATATCAACATTTCAACATGTTCTGCTTCATGTTCTCAGACTTGACTGGGTTCATCATCATCATCATCATCATCATCATCTCCTCTTGAGGAGACGGACCAAACAATGAACTAACAGACCGGCCTTGAAAATAAAATCACAGACCAAGGATTTTTTCTTTAATAAAAAAAAAAAAAAAAAAAAAGAAATGCTTGAATTTCTTTTTAATGTTTTTAATTGTATGTGCTGTTAAAAACAAATGGAAACTAGAGGGTGAAGCTTATTGTAATAAACTTTATTTGAAGGATCAGAAACGCTGGGATGGAAACCCTGAAGCAGCTTCTTCAGTTTAGCTTTTATTTATGAGCAGAGAAATTGAGTTTCCTCAACGCCTCTTATTAAAATGAAAATTTTTAATCAAATTTAGCCAATGTAGAGGTAGAGGTGGGGGGGGTTCTGAAATAAATCAGCCATTCTAGGTTTTATGGTAAACTGCATGGATGAAAAAGTAGCACATTTTAAAACTGTAGATAAAGTACTGAGTGGCTCCATGGCTGCATCTAATATTGTAGATCTATAAAGACCATTTCAGAGCCTAAAACACAGTAAAAACTCCTTTAACTCTTCTAATGGATTTAGGTGAAGAGGGAGTTAGAATCTGCTTCCAGCAGCAATTATAGACTTAGAATGTAAACTAGCTGCTTCTGCTGCAGCAGCCGCCGCTGCCGCTGCCTGCAGTCAGGCTGGTGAGGAAAAGCACTGAACCCAAAGATGCAGACCTTTCCCTGTGTGTCCCTCATAAACATGGCTGATCACTTTGGTGAAAGCGAAGCGTTCCTACCTGGCTCTCAGTGCCCAGGTCGGTGGGCTCATACAGGTCACTGATGCTGACGAACTTCTGCTCGATGGGCTCCAGAAGATCCAGGGCCGGCTTGATTTCATTTTCAGGGAAGCTGGTCTCCACGGTGGTGCTCGCGATTGCGATGTATTTACCCCCCGCAGCCACATTGTGAGCAAAAGAGATCATACAAACGTAGATGTCTGAAAAGAGAAACAGGTTTCATTTTATTTCAGTTTATTTCTTTAACTCCAATTCACATCCTGTCATCTCAGGCACTTCATAGAAATAAAACAACCAGATCATCCAGTCAGATTGATTCAAAGTTTTCTATCTAAGGAAAACCGGCTGATTGCATCGACTCATTGACTCTTCAGCAATCCCTCACACTAAGCATGCTTATAGCGACAGTGGAGAGGAAAAACTCCCTTTGAACAGGAAGAAACCTCCAGCAGAACCAGGCTCAGTGTGAGCGGCCATCTGCTGAGGCCCACTGGGGTTCAAGGAGACAGAAGCAGAGATCCTCTCTAAAAGGTCTTTTTGGCTACGTTCACACCGCAGCCTGAAGCCCATATGCGACCTGGATCTGATCTTTTCATGGCAGTCTGAACAACACAGATCAGCTTTTTCCAATGCGACCCAGGCCGCTTGGCTCTGTGGTCCTGAATCCGATACGAATCTGATCTTTTCAAATGCAACCTGTGTCTGAACAGCCAGGTCGCATTCATCCGACCTGAACGCCATTAATATTAACAAAGGTCACTATTCTGGATCTTGCTACGCAGAAGCGGCAAGAAAAACAACAACCATGGCGGAGCAGTATTTATGTTTAACCCTCTTGAAAAGATTGAATTTATTTGGTCGGAAAAGATCGCTTGATGCGCGCCGGCGCCACCATCCATGTTTACTTCCGTAAACACTGAGCACGCTGGCCTGTGACGTCATTGTGTCTCTACTGCGCATGCAGGAGACTTACGTTGTATGACTGCAGTTCACACAGGGGATCACATACAAGTCGCATATATTTGAAAATATAAACGGCAACACAAAAAAAGAAAAGGGATTTCTCCAAAAATTGTAATTGAGCATGAAGGCCTGCAGTGCGAACGCAGCCTTTGATGATGAAATGCTTCCTAACAGCAGATCAGTCTTCTGGGTCTGAGCGCTTCCTCATCTCACCGTGTTTCCTGTTGACCTGATTCTGTGGGATGATGATTTGGCAGGAGTTGATGTCTCCAGTGTTGGCGATGGGGTGACTCAGGATGCAGATGACTCTGATCACCTGACCAACCTTTTTCACACGGTCCATCACATAGCTGGGGTCACAGATCAGCTGCTTGCATCTTGCAATCTGGAAACAAAGACAAGCAGAGAGGAATTTCACAAAACGACAAGACAACAAGACACCACTAGCGTCACCCCGCTGGCGTCGCCGGGATAAAGACAACCCGCTAGCGTCACCGGGATATAGACACCCCGCTAACGTCACCTAGCGTGACCCCCGCAAGCGTTGCCGGGATAAAGACACCCCACTAGCGTCGCCGGGATAAAGACACTCCGCTAACGTCACCTAGCGTCACCGGGATAAAGACACCCCGCTAGCGTCACCGGGATAAAGACACTCTGCTAATGTTACCAGGATAAAGACACCCCACTAGCGTCGCCGGGATAAAGACACTCCGCTAACGTCACCTAGCGTCACCGGGATAAAGACACCCCGCTAGCGTCACCGGGATAAAGACACCCCGCTAGCGTCACCGGGATAAAGACACCCCGCTAGCGTCGCCGGGATAAAGACACCCCACTAGCGTCGCCGGGATAAAGACACTCCGCTAACGTCACCTAGCGTCACCGGGATAAAGACACCCCGCTAGCGTCACCGGGATAAAGACACCCCGCTAGCGTCACCGGGATAAAGACACTCTGCTAACGTTACCAGGATAAAGACACCCCACTAGCGTCGCCGGGATAAAGACACTCCGCTAACGTCACCTAGCGTCACCGGGATAAAGACACCCCGCTAGCGTCACCGGGATAAAGACACCCCGCTAGCGTCACCGGGATAAAGACACTCTGCTAACGTTACCAGGATAAAGACACCCCACTAGCGTCGCCGGGATAAAGACACTCCGCTAACATCACCTAGCGTCACCGGGATAAAGACACTCCGCTAACGTCACCAGGATAAAGACACTCTGCTAACGTCACCGGGATAAAGACACTCTGCTAACATCACCTAGCGTCGCCGGGATAAAGACACCCCGCTAGGGTCACCGGGATAAAGACACCCCGCTAGCGTCGCCGGGATAAAGACACCCCGCTAGCGTCGCCGGGATAAAGACACTCCGCTAGCGTCGCCGGGATAAAGACACCCCGCTAGGGTCGCCGGGATAAAGACACCTCGCTAGCGTCGCCGGGATAAAGACACCCCGCTAGCGTCGCCGGGATAAAGACACCCCGCTAGCGTCGCCGGGATAAAGACACTCCACTAGCGTCGCCGGGATAAAGACACTCCGCTAACGTCACCTAGCGTCACCGGGATAAAGACACTCCGCTAACGTCAACGGGATAAAGACACTCCGCTAGCGTCGCCGGGATAAAGACACTCCACTAGCGTCGCCGGGATAAAGAAACACAGCTAACGTCACCTAGCGTCAACGGGATAAAGACACTCCGCTAGCGTCACCAGGATAAAGACACTCTGCTAACATCACCTAGCGTCACCGGGATAAAGACACTCTGCTAACATCACCTAGCGTCACCGGGATAAAGAAACACAGCTAACGTCACCTAACGTCAACGGGATAGACACTCCGATAGCGTCACCAGGATAAAGACACTCTGCTAACATCACCTAGCGTCACCGGGATAAAGACACTCTGCTAACATCACCTAGCGTCACCGGGATAAAGAAACACAGCTAACGTCACCTAGCGTCACCGGGATAAAGACACTAAAACGTTAAGTAAAATTTAGAAGTTGGGCCAAAAACAGGATGTAGCAGAGCTGTTTTTCTTTAATCTTTTTCAGATCGAGTTTTACAAATTTTTCTTCTCATACCGTGTTTTTAGATCCAATTCCCTTTCCTTTAAGCCAATATTGACCAATGAAACTGTTGTTGCTAACGACCTAGAAGACCAATTGAAATGCGTCTTTAGACGTCACTCCACAGGAGCTCCCGCCCCACAAGTCTAGACAATGAGAACTGGAAAATACAACCTGAAATAAAAGGAATTTGTAAAACTCAGTCTGATAAAAAAATAAATAAAATCTGTAAGAAAATATTAGAAAAACAAAAAATAAAGCAAAATATGCACAAAATTACATTAATATATTTAGAAAAACCAAATCTGAGAAATCACTCTGGATTACATCCATTTTAATTTTACAAAACGTGTTCTTTGCAAAATTTAATGGACCAAAATTCCCTCCATAGAGCTGCTGGTGGCACGTTGTCATCACACCAACTTCCTGGTTTAGTTTGAGTGGAAGCATCAGTGTCTTTGTCCCGTTGGTGATGCAGGAATCAGGTAAAGACGGCGAGTGAACAGAAGCAGATGATGTGCACTAAAAGGTGAGCAGGATGTGAAACAGAATGAGCCCAGAGGAGAGTTCACCTCTCAGGAGCCTCACCTCTCCCTCAGACTTCACTCCCACCACCTTCCCGTTCTCCGTCACTATTTCCTCGATGGGCTTGTTCAACATGTACGTCCCGCCAAAGATGGCGCTCAACCTGAAACCAAAATGAGGAACTTTCAAAACAAAAATTATTTCACTAAATCCATTAATGGACACAATTGTTCAGCAGATTTATGACATTAAATGGAAAAAAATAGATAGAATAGATAGATAGATAGATAGATAGATAGATAGATAGATAGATAGATAGATAGATAGATAGATAGATAGATAGATAGATAGATAGATAGATAGATAGATAGATAGATAGATAGATAGATAGATAGATAGATAGATAGATAGATAGATAGATAGATAGATAGATAGATAGATAGATAGATAGATAGATAGATAGATAGATAGATAGATAGAAGGTCTGGAAGCTAAAATAATTGGTCCCCGCTAAAGTGAGAAATCAATTAATAACCACAACCAATCATGAAAGAGGGTCCGTCGTACACGATTGGTTCCTGACACGTCAATAAGGGTTCTCTGCTTGTCCCTCCCCCCTGTGCGGGTACCCTGAGACATGAACGAATCCCCGATTTTGAAATTTCCCCCAGACATTTTGTTTAGGTGTGAAAAGTAGGACATGTGCGGAAAAAAAAGAGGACGTCTGTCACCCTGTCTTTGCTGCTCTAGCTGCGCGGTGGTAATGTGGGTCTGATGCGTGGTGGGCGGAGCTACGCTATCCTTTCTCTGCCTGGAACAATGGCAGCTATATTAGAATCTATGTTGAAGTGAGAAAATCCTCCTGAAAACATGGTCTGTGCAGTCAGTTCACCCAGATTACCATCCTGCCTTCAAAGATTATTTCTCTGTGGGAGCCGCTCAGACCCCCACATACAGGCGCTGCGCTGTCACTGGGAATCCCCAGCAGCAGCTGCCTCAGGCCCGCTCGCCTCCTCATATAAATATGGTGATATATAAACACACGGTGATATACACTGTTAGATTTTCTTCTCATCGCTCAGCTCTACATAGAAAACCATCATTGAACTGATCAAGCTTTGCAGCTGAAGAGGCTCATTGAGGACGTAATCTGGAGCAGCATGTCTGAAGAACATCAGTGGTCCATCTGGAAGGTTACAGAAAGGTGTGTACGACTAACCGCAGGGTTTTGTCGTACAGTGCGAGCTCACAGCTCACGATTTATGTTTGGCCCGACGCTCTGATGCGATCTACCTGCTCACACTGTGCGACTAAAAACCACGTCGGCCTGAGCTCCGCGGCGAGACGGAGCTGCTCTGCAGCTCTCCATCCTGAAGGCAAATAAATGGAAGGAATATTAAGCTCTCTATAGTTAACCGCGCTGCCTTGGCAATTAGTGCAATTACTGTGCTGATTGCCTCACGATTCCTGATCGGGAAGCGGTCGTGAGAGGCTGATCGCCGCTCGTAACCCCCTGTACACTACACGACTCACAATCAGGCTGAAAGTCGAGCCCATCGAAAAATATTCGCATTACTGGAAAATCGCTGAGTGTGGCTTTAGGTGGATGATAGGGGGAGGGGTGGCATAGTGGTTTGGGCATAGATCTTGGATAATAGAGGTTCTCAGTTCAAGTCCCACTCCAACAGCCTCCACTCTGGGTCCCTGAGCAAGACCCTTAACCCCACACTGCTCCCCGGGCTCCGCACAATGGCAGCGCACTGCTCCCTAAGGGGAGGGGTTAAATATAGAGGGTGAATTTCATCACTTTAAGATGGTTTAATGACAACAAAGTTTAATTCCAACTGTAAAGCTAAAAGATTAATGGAGAATTTCACACTTTAAGAGACCCACAGAAGCACATGCACAACCCTGTGCCCACAATGGTCAAAGAAAGGCCTATTAAACGCGTGCAAGGGTGTGCACAATTCCATTTCTCCTCATGCACAATTCCATTTCTCCTCGTGCACAATTCCATTTCTCCTCGTGCACGCTCTGTTTAAAAGTTGCTGTTTGCATCGATCATACAAGTTTAGTTCCCAAAAGAAGAAAAATGGCGGCGAGCACGCAGGACTGCCTTACGTTAACGTTCCACCAGAATGATTGACAGTTAGGAGGACCACTGATTGAGATGATCCACCCAGAAACAGACAGACCATCCTCCACTAAAGCTTTATGGAAAACCACATTGACAGCCAGAAAAATAAACCAGCTGCATCTTTAGCTGCTGAATGATTTTATTTCCAGAATATCTCTGGTTAAATGATTAGTCGAGTTTCATGCTTTTTGGACCAAGTTGGATTGATTTAAATAACAGAATAACTCTAACTTAATGCTTTTTAATGCTCTAATTTTAATGCCACCAACAGGCACCCGTGGACAGGCTGCAGCCATGTCTCGAATTCCTGGTTTTAAAACCCAAAATAATAATTTAATGACATTTACTGATTTTTAATGACCCACGGAAACCCTGAATAATCTGCAAACCGAGTGAATTAGTTCTTTAAAAACCTCCTAAAGATCACAGTCAGTTGACCAGCAGATATTAATTTACTTTCCTTAACATTTTATGCTGCAGCTTCCGCTATATTCTCCATTTCTCCTCAGCAAATACTTGTAAAATAAACAGAGTGCACCCAGAGGAAATAAGCGCTGTACCTGGCGAAGCCCTGCGGCAGCTCTCCCAGCCCGTACAGAGGGTAGAGGTACGGACTCTTGCCGTATCTGGCCAGAGACTCGCTGTAAAGCTTTATTCTGTTGATGGTTTCGATGCACGGCTGATCCAGATACCTGAGAGAGGAAACCAGGAGAAATGAAGCAACCAGCAATGCCCCCCCCCCCCCCCCCCCCCCCCCCAGGCTATAGAGAAGCAGCACTCACTCATCAGTGCGGTAGAGCGCCAGGGAGTGACCGGTGAAGTCAATCACTTCCTGTCCCAGGCTGAACTTCTGGAAAATGGCCCTCATCGGGGTTTTCTTGGGATCAACGCCTTCCATGGTTTTCGGGTCGTTTTCGTCAAAGTTGGCGACAAAGACCAAGAACTTCCGGAAGCGTCGCTTCTCAAACAAACCCATCAGGCCTTAAAGGGACAGAATGAGCCGTTAGAGGGGCTACCGCTCATGAAGAGCAGCGATCAGAGCCAAACGGCTCGTCTACTTACTGGAAGCCAGAGCCTCAGTCTCAGTGGAGGGAACTTTATAGATTTTCCCTCCCTTGTAGACGTAACTGCCTTCAATCACCTTGAAATCCAGGTAGCGAGTCACCTGTGTGATCAGCAGCATGCGGACCAGCTGACCTGAAAAACATCTCTCTATGCTGACTCACATTCTGGCTTCTTTATTTTAACAAAGAATATTAAATCCAGCGTTCAAAGGAAAATAGATGCTATCACTTCTAATGAAAACCTGTTTCTAAGGAAATCTAGATATTATAGCATAATTCTAAAAACACAATAATGAGGAAGACTGTTTGTCCGGCAGAGGATCATCTGGTCACAATGAAATACAAAACATCACAGCATGACATGAACCTAGAAAACATGCAACGTCCTTCAAGAATGAAAAACACTTAATGCACAGAAATGTATCTGGATTGTAGAAGTTCAGGTGTTCTTTCTCCCATTCACACGGTGAAATCAGTGAGCAGTTCAGATACCGTTGGCCATGAGGAACTTTGGGACCAGGTCCACATTCCAGTCTCGTCCTTTTCCCATGGAATCAGGGGGGGTGCCAGGGAGGTTGAAGCGCTTGTAGAGCTGCAGGCAGAAAGTAAATCTAACTGCGAATCAAGAGGCAGCGACTGAACGTCACAAACTGCAGAATTTAAGTCAGCTTACATCTTCCAGCGGTGTGATGGAGGCGCTCTCAGCTCCATAGTACGAGTTACGGTCCATGTGAAGAACCTTCTTCCCCTTTACTGACATGATGCCTGATAAAATGCATTCCTGCACATTAAAGCAAACCACACAAAGTTTAAAGATTACAAACCTATAAAAGTTGGAATTATGTTTTTCTTGTTCTGGGTGTTTAAAGCTGTTACAGCAGAAAGTCTGCAGAGCTAAGCGGATGTAATGAGCATCATGTGACTAAAGAGCTAAAACTAGTTTTACGGCTCTGAGAGAGAAGGTCACTTTCACAGAAAGTAGCTCTGCAGCATTTTCTCACTGAAACCTGGTTGATCTATTTCTACAGTCGTTCCCTTTAGGAGGGATGTGTAGCTGAAGGCAATCAGTCACAGCAACCGGCCAACCGGCGCAGTCACAGCAACCGCCGCAGCCACAGCAACCGGCGCAGCCACAGCAACCGGCGCAGTCACAGCAACCGGCGCAGTCACAGCAACCGGCGCAGTCACAGCAACCGGCGCAGTCACAGCAACCGGCGTAGTCACAGCAACCGCCGCAGCCACAGCAACCGGCGCAGTCACAGCAACCGGCGCAGTCACAGCAACCGGCGTAGTCACAGCAACCGGCGCAGCCACAGCAACCGGCGCAGCCACAGCAACCGGCGCAGCCACAGCAACCGGCGCAGTCACAGCAACCGGCGCAGTCACAGCAACCGCCGCAGCCACAGCAACCGCCGCAGCCACAGCAACCGCCGCAGCCACAGCAACCGGCGCAGCCACAGCAACCGGCGTAGTCACAGCAACCGGCGCAGTCACAGCAACCGCCGCAGCCACAGCAACCGGCGCAGCCACAGCAACCGGCGCAGCCACAGCAACCGGCGCAGTCACAGCAACCGGCGCAGTCACAGCAACCGGCGCAGTCACAGCAACCGGCGCAGTCACAGCAACCGCCGCAGCCACAGCAACCGGCGCAGCCACAGCAACCGGCGCAGCCACAGCAACCGGCGCAGCCACAGCAACCGACGCAGTCACAGCAACCGGCGCAGTCACAGCAACCGGCGCAGTCACAGCAACCGGCGTAGTCACAGCAACCGCCGCAGCCACAGCAACCGGCGCAGTCACAGCAACCGGCGTAGTCACAGCAACCGGCGTAGTCACAGCAACCGGCGCAGTCACAGCAACCGGCGCAGCCACAGCAACCGGCGCGGCCACAGCAACCGGCGCAGCCACAGCAACCGCCGCAGCCACAGCAACCGCCGCAGTCACAGCAACCGCCGCAGCCACAGCAACCGGCGCAGTCACAGCAACCGGCGCAGTCACAGCAACCGCCGCAGTCACAGCAACCGCCGCAGTCACAGCAACCGCCGCAGTCACAGCAACCGCCGCAGTCACAGCAACCGCCGCAGTCACAGCAACCGCCGCAGTCACACTCCATGCTAACATTTTATACATTAAAACCAGAAGCTTTTATTTATGCACCATAGAAGTCATTCAAACAAACTAAATTTGCTTTAGTGCCAGAAATCAGAGGTTTTCTCAAAAGTGAACAAGAGAACAATTTGAAGGGAAAAAAAAAAAACACATGGCCAAGCAGTTTAAATTGGATTCTAACCACACAAAAAAAGAACAATTTATTTTTAGTAAAGCTTAACTCTTGTTTCTGGACCTAAATGCCTAAAGCCTGATTGTTTAATGAAACAAGCACCAAACTGTTAAAGAAAAAGGACGTTTGCAGATTTACAGCAGCTTCTCAGCAGGTGATGAACGTTTGATTCTGATGAAACCAGGACAGATGTGAAGCAGGCAGGTACCAACCCTGGAGGACTAACTCTAAACCCTCGCTGGTTTTAGATGCTACAGTCACCTGAATGCTAATGGCTGCTAAGATACAGTTTAGAGCGTTTAGCAAAGAGGAAGAGCAGAAACTAAAGGGGAATCACAAAAGACAAACAGCCATTGTTCTGAAGATCTTTCCTCTCCACCAGAGCAGTTGTTAGATCAGCGCTGGAGCTGCAGAGGACGGCTTGGATGGACGTTTACGAGACTAAAAGTATCACGCAAAAAAGTCTGAGGGGACGTTTTCTGCTTTTATCACTACATACACATTTTTTTTATTACTCTGAAATATCCCATCTTTGACATTTTTATACATTTAAATCGCTTTTATTGTTTGTAAATCTATGTTTTCCTGGATCTTGATCAAAATGTAGTTAGAAACACACCTTTAAGTCATAATTCCCACATTTCTGCTGCATTTAAAGTTTTAAACCAACTCTATCAAATAAGCAGTGAGTCTATTTTATAAGCTAGAATCCTACAGAAAGAAAACAAATAAAAAAACAACAGTCAGAACTTAGAAACAACCAAGGAAGGAAGGCCTGATCCATAATTTGATGAAGCAAAAACATGCGTATATTGTTAACCCATTAGTGATCCTGTGCATCACATTAGTTTCCTTCTATTGGAGCCAAAAGAGGAAGAAGTTTAAGTCACTGATCTGCATCGGGAACTGAAAGCAGCAAAGCCACAGCAGTTAGAAGCTGCAGCCTTTAGCTTCAGACTGGCTGAAAGTGAAGCTCTGACAATCAGCAGCAGAGTTTCAGTTCAGCCACACCCAGACCCGGCTTAGCAAAGCCTAACCAACCAGATTCTGCATCCTGGCTTTTTTATGACATTTCTCTTCAGGATCCAAGTCTAAAGACTGTAGAGCTGTTTTTATTTATTTAATCTTTTTCTGTTTAAAGGAGACATGGCGACAGGCCCCAAATATCCACTTATACTCTAAAATATGAAGGTTGGCTGAGAGGATATGGAAAATAAAATGACATAAAACTGTTTGCAGTTTGAGACTTTCTCAGATTTAAAACAAACAACATATTAAATAGATCCTAAATAATAAAGCAAAAAAATGTATCGAGTTGATAGAGGAAGCAACACGTTTGTCTTGATTAACTTCTAAAACATGAAGAATTATAAATAATAAACTTTTAGTGTCTTTTTCACAAGCGGAAATCCAACTATTGTTTTTTTAAAGGCTGAGCAACAAGCTAAACAACTAAGAAGAAAACAATCTGAATAACATTAATAACTGATGTGTGATTTTAACTATCTTTAAAGGAAACGTAGGGAAACTAGTTAGCTGCAGTTGGCCTAGCTAATGCTAATGCTAACTTATCCGCTTTCTATTCTCAGGCAGCAAATAAACAAACTCTTCTGTTCCGTTAATTGGATAAATACATGCTGACGTCACTATTCGATTAAACCAACTTAATATAAAGAGTAACCTGGTGATTTGGCAGTTAGCATGGTGCTAACAGTTCATTACGCTGCAGTCAGTTAGCGGCTAAGCTAGCTACTTAGCTAATTGGGCCTAGTTAGGCTGGAAGCAGCCTGGAAACAGGCCGCTAACAGACTGGAAATCAATCCGCCTTCAGTGTCTGCAGCATCGGATGCTTTCTCACCGTGAGCCCGGTGCCCAGGACGATGACGTCGTATTCTTCATTCATTTTCAAAGCTTTCAGTCTTTCTGCTTCAAGCTGTCGCCAAAGAAGAAAATGGAGATCCGCGAGACTGAAAAGGAAAAGAGGCTCAACGTCAAGCGCGTGACGCAGGGGGCGGGGCTCCCTGACAGCGGATTGGTTCAGCCCAAACCAAAACTTTTGTACTAAAGAAATTCAAACTATGCATAATTAAGCATAAAGTGTCCTCCACAGAAATACAAGCAGCTGATGAGAAAAATAAACAAATAATAACAAAAAAACAAACAAAACAAACAAACAGAAAACATAAATAAGCAAGATTAGTATTTAATATTGGTTAAATGTAAGAAAATAAATAAAGACATCCGGGACATTTTTTTTTTTTTTTTTACAGAAAGCAGAAATATGTTTTAGATGAAATGCTTGAAAGTCCTTAGAGCTAGCTTGACCAGATTGGCGCAGCGTCTGCCGTGAAGCGGGCGCTGTACCGGTCTGTTGTGGTGAAGAGAGAGCTGAGTCAAAAAGCGAAGCTCTCGATTTTCTGGTCGATCTACGTTCCTACCCTCATCTATGGTCATGAACTCTGGGTCTTGACCGAAAGAACGAGATCCTGGATACAAGCGGCCGAAATGGGTTCCCTCCGTAGGGTGGCTGGGCTCTCCCTTAGAGATAGGGGGAGGAGCTCGGTCATCCGGGAGGGACTCGGAGTAGAGCCCCTGCTCCTCCACGTCGAGAGGAGCCAGTCGAAGTGGCTCGGGCTTCTGGTTAGGATGCCTCTGGGACACCTCCCTGGTGAGGTGTTCCAGGCACGTCCCATCGGGGGGGGGGGGCGGTGGAGCCCCAGGAAACACTATAGGGACTATGTTTCTCGGCTGGGAACGCCTTGGGGTTCCTCCTGAGGGGCTAGAGGAAGTGGCTGGGGAGAGGGAAGTCTGGGCCTCCCTTCTTAAGCTGCTGCCCCCGCCACCCGACCCCGGATAAGCGGAGGAAGATGGATGGATGGATGGATGGATGGATGGATGGATGGATGGATGGATGGATGGATGGATGGATGGATGGATGGATGGATGGATGGATGCTTGAAAGTTTGGAGAAACCTTAGAAAATCTATCATTTATTTATAATATTTTTAAATAATAACACATTAGTATGAGTCAAACCGCATTTAACTTAGAAAACTTTTTTTATATACAAAATGACTTTTCTTTTTTTACAGCTTTTAAGCAGCTACAACAATTTACTTCATTATGTTCAAAATAAGGTTCCACATTTATTGTTGATAATTCTTCCCAAAAGCCTAAATCAGTCTGCATGTAGCAGAGACTTTATTTATGGCCTCATCAGATTATTAAAATTCCTGTAAATTAATATTCCATTAAGAGCGAACTTTAAATCCTCCTCCATGGTGAAACAGTTTATCTTATCTAACATATATGATGCTGGAAAATGTTTGAATTTATGCATAAAAATAAACAATGGTAAATGCTGTCATGCAAAGGAATCAAACTTTTACGTCTTGGGAGGGGTCCTAAGACTAATAATTATACTAATAAATACCCTAACCTGAATAAATAAATAACCATCAATTTTTCTAACACGCTTGCTCCCAAGCGGGGTCATGAGGGGTGCTGGTGTCCTTCTTCATCTGTCAGTGGGTGAGAGGGGGGGTCCATCCTGAACAGGTCGCCAGTCCATCGCAGGGCAGCACAGAGACAAAAAAGCATTCACACCTAAGGAGGATTTAGAGACGACAATTAACCTAATAGTCATGTTTTTGGACTGTGGGAGGAAGCTGGAGTACCCGGAGAGAACCCCCGCATGCTCAGAGAGAACATGGAAACTCCATGCAGAGAGACCCCTGGCCAGGAATCGAACCCAGAACCTCCTTGCTGCAAGGCAGCAGTGATAACCACTGTTCCACTGAGCAGCAGTGAGCTAAATAAATAAATAATAAATAAATACCCTGACCTAAATAGGTAAATAATAAATAATAAAGCTAACCATGCTACATAGCGCGGACCAGAAACAAATGCTCAACAAAATAAAAGCACTTAGCTCAAACCGGAAGTTATTGACATTGGACAGAGGAGAAATGGCCTCATGCACGAGCCCATTTCTCCTCATGCACGAGCCCATTTCTCCTCGTGCATGAGCCCCTTTCTCCTCGTGCATGAGCCCATTTCTCCTCGTGCATGAGCCCATTTCTCCTCGTGCATGAGCCCATTTCTCCTCATGCATGAGCCCATTCACGGCCTTAGTAAACACATCACCAGGATGATTGACAGTTTGGAGCACCACTGATTGAGATGATCCACCGGGAAATAAAACACTTAACCGACACTTTAACAAGAACAGGATTGATCTGTTTGAAAGTTGAGCTCTGATATTTAAAGAAGACAAAGGAGTCTGTTAAAAATCAAGCTTCCTGACAGCAACATGAAAACAACAATAATTCCTTTAAATGTGTCATAAGGGCAGCGCTGCAGAATAAACTTTTCCAGTGAGGAAATTATTCTAGCAGCAATTATTTTTACCATGAAAAGGATTCAGACTTTGATAATATGACAAATCCCATAAAATTGTTCTGACTGCATTAGCATTTCTAATAATTTATAACCCTAGCCCATTAATTTTTACGTTGTAGTAATTGGAAATATTTCTAATGTAAATGTTTCTTTATGTTTATGTATAGATATATTTTAAATGTATTATAAAAATTCACTGTCAAATAATTAAAATGATTATTTATCTTCATTTCACACAGAGCGTCTTGTCATGTCTCACTTCTGTCTCCTTCCAGACTCTGGAGCCTTGATGTGCAAATAAAAAAAATACTTTAATCTCAAAGTTAGACTCCAGCTGGTAAATCTCCCTTGGACTATTAAAAGACTTCTGCATTATAATAATTTCAAGTGTGCAGTTATCATGGGGCCCTTTTCACCACAGTTTTCCTAGTATTTAACTTTCCATTTATATACTGGCCTTAACTGTCAGTTAATACAGCCAGTTTGAAGCTTTAGGTTTTAAGGGACTTTATCAGATCTAAAACCTTCTACCACAAGATGGCGCCAGAAATAAAGAAATCCACTAAGTTCAGCCTTTAGAAACCTTAAACAAAAGCTGCCTTCCTTTCACTGCTCAGCTCCTCCTGCAGATGAAGTGAGTTTCAAGGCAACTGTGTAAAAAGAGGGGAGGCTGTGGACCTGAGCGCTCTGCCATGATGGTCCAGGGCCATGCTCCTCCATTAGACACAACAGCTGCAGAAATGAGCTGCAGATGAAGACTGTGGTCCAGAGATGCAGTAAAACATGATTTATAGCATCTACAATTAAAAGATCTACTTTAAATGCTTTCATGTTAATTCATTGTGGTTCATTTCAGCCTATTATAGTGGTGGTTTCTGAATAACTCCTCCTCCATTATCTCTTGGAGCGATTTGGTTTATTTGAACTGAATGCAAAGTTGAACTTTAGCAGAGAATAAAGTTTAAAAAAAAGGGAGTCCTGCCTTTTCTTTAATGTGATAAAAACCACAAAGCCACATATGAGGACGATATATTCTAATTTTTGCCTTTAATCACCATGATCAAGGACTCAAAGTATTTTCCATCTGAATCAACTCAGTTCAACTTTAATAAACTGCTGCTGGATAAAAACAATCGACTAAAGGATTTAGGGTTAAATATTCAGTCTTTCTCTGGGAAAGTCTGTACTTCTGCAGTAGTTTAGCAGTTTGGGGAGATTTAAATAGAGAGAAGATACGGCGTTCCTCTTGGCTCTATTCTCCAACTAGGACACTTTGTTTTTCACATTGTTTTATCGTCACATGACTTCAGTCCAAACAGCCGCCATGTCATAACAGCAGTGAGTGGACGGGTCAGAATTAAAGGAACAAAACAACTTTTACAAGAAATCAACTGTTTCATCTAAAAAAAAAATAAATCCATTAAAAAAACCTTTATTAAATAATAAAACTAAATTACCCATACTGCAAGAAATATAAATCTAATGAAGTCATTTTCTTCCTAATAAGGTAATTTGGAAAAGGCAACAGTCTCTCATTTTAAAGGCATAATGTAAAATTATCTTATTTTAACTCATTCCATTGGAAGATCATCTTATTTTGCTACACAAATTAAAGCCAAATACACTAAATACATAATTAATGTTTTTACAGGTTTTCTTCTAGTTTTGAGAAAAGAAATACATAAATTCTGTATTTCAACAACAATATTTCAACCTCCTTATTTTGGAATAATCCAATAAGGACCATTAAAAAAATAATAAAACTTATATAAATGTGTTTGACCAACAAAATGCAAATGCTCAACATAAGTTTTATTATTCTTTATGGAAGTTTGTAGTTTTTATTCAGTCGCTCTATTGTTCTCTTTAATTGTTAATGTTTTATTAATTTTAGGACAAACTTCTGTTTTCCTGTTTATATGAATTCAGTGAGATTTTGTTTATTGCTAAAGTTCCCGGTCACTTTACAGAAATAATTCAACCAGATTATCCAGTCATTGACTATATCAATAAACATAACTACTGTCAGGATTTGCACCTGTTGTGTTTTAATAAAAGTTTAGTGTTTTATTAAAGTTTCTGCTCTCATTCCTGCTGCCAGAGTTTCCTTCCTGTGCTAAAAATTCATCACTGTCTAATAAATAAAAATATCCTGTATTAAAATAGATTGAGCTTCAAAACAAAATGGATCTAGAGAGAACAGAATATGTTTTTGAATTTGGTTCCCACTAAAGTATTTAGCATCATATTTTCACAGCAGTTGGACTCGATCAGCTTCAGTCTGGCCCCATTTTTAAAACTCAAACTATGTTATTTTTAGCCACATTAGCCTCCAATCCCTTTATGGAGGATTGACTGAAGCTCTTTTCAAAGTCTCCACTTGTTTAGTTTGTTCTTCAATCCTTCCAAAGGGTTTGAATACTTTCTTCAAAGCATTTTAGAACTAAGTGGAACTAAAGCCTGAGAAAAAAACAAGCAGATTATTCTGTGCAAAGATCAGAATAAACGCCAAAGGTAGATGGCTCCTTTTTATTGATTAGCTGGTAAAACTGCAGACTTTCGCAGATCTGTCCTCCATGTCTGGACTCTCCCACACTTACAGTCAGACAGTTAGAGGA